CAGTCATCAGGTTTTCGACTTCGTCGCCAAAAGACATGATTATATATATTGTATAGGGTTTTTTTACCCCCAAGAGGTTGCCACTAAACCCTGTTTCATCCAAAAGGAATCAACTGGCAAATTTCGAAACTGGGCTGATTAAGTATGCAGTCGAAACATGACCGTGTGAGCTTTCAAACAGTCATTAGACCAAGTAAAAAAAATAAAGTAGTTTCTCGTCCGAATTTTGAAAAAAATGGAGAATGCGGGCGCTTTTTTTTGTTTTTTTCTAAACCTTCAAATATTGCTCTTAAATTACCAAATAACCTATAAACACACGCAAATATAGTTGAAGTTTACTCATAAAACGTAAATATATTAAAATATACAAACAGCTACTAATGCAATATTAATGGCGCCAAACTAACAATATGGCGCGAACAGCAAGCTAGAGTTGACAAAAATTTTCGAACGGCAACCGAACTATGCCGAAAGGAGCAAAATGGCCGAAATATACTAAGTGGAAATACTTTGAAAGGCTCGAATATAAAACATAAAAAAGAAAAATCCATGCGGCAAGGAAAAAGGATGCGGGTGGGGACGAGAAACTACTAATTTTTTTTACTTGGCCTTTAGTTAACTACTTTTATTTCTTTTTGTGGTTATACTGGTCGAAACTATATATTGCCGATTTTTTGTTGCATGAGTAAAATTGTTTTCTTCAAAATACAGAGCTTCCCCTTCATATAGATTATAGCCAATATAGGGTCTAATCTTGTTTGTTTTTCTTTTAATCGGCCAAATGTATTTCGAAAGTTCCGTATTGTTTGAATACTTTTTGTGAGTGAAAGATTTGTGGTTTTGCGTGCTTGCTGTCATCGTGCCAATATATAGTGCTTTGTGCTGTTTGTGTTGCTTGTGGCAACAGTTGCCTTGTATATACTGTGACGTCCTTAGACCTTAGTCACACATTTTTCCTGGAGTGGGCATGCATGATTTCCTAGTCCTATACAGTCATAATTACTGTCTGTGCATGTTTTCGCTCTGTGCCTGGTTTTCCCTAATCAGTATATGCGTGCATTACTATCAGTAATTAGTAATCATAGACTTCATATTGTTCATGCAACAGGCTGTGACAAGCTGTTAGCAACCTGTTCTATCTATATGATATATATGATATTGAGCATTTCGTGAACCAAAACTCACTTGTATAAATATATATTTGCACTCGTATACCGTGCATGTGCACTCTTAGCTAATTGTTTTCGTAATATACTATATATATATATATATATATATATATATATATTTTACCTGTATGAGGCAATTCAGACGATTTGAATCATTGCATGAAAAAACATTCCTATACTCAGCAGGATGCTTTATATTTGAGAAATTTGATTGAAAAAATGGAAAGTGTATATACTAAACGCATGAGACGGAAATATATTTCTTAAACTCATTTTATTAATGCACAAAACATTAATTTAATAATTATCTTGACACCTCGTCCTCGCCTTAAATTTTTCTTTAAATATACAAAGCCAAAGATGTACTGATTCTTAATTTGTCATAGTTATTATCTTTTCTACATTTCTCTTGTAATTTATTTATTCCATGATGTTGATGTTGACTGTTATGCGCGTGATGTGAGTATACCAATGAAACTTGCGCGCAATAAATGTAAATTATTATTAGTGTATTAATTAAGTCCGTCTGAGAAGTAAGATAAGATAATAAACTCGAATATATTTATATAAAGGCATAAAGCTGTTTATTACCGGCGTAGTATATAAAACAACTCAATTCAAAGTATATGTGAAAGAACGTACTCGGCTATAGCGCCTCGCTTTTATATTAGCTAAATGAATATAACCGTTCAGTCATTCAACATTAAGGTTGGTCACTGTTGAATTCAATTCCAACAGTTGGAATGATGAAGGCAATTAAGCTAACTAGATTTGCACACGGCTTCCCAGTTTCCCATACACTTTCGCCCTGCATACTATAACAATACTGCGTGCTTGCCGTATACTGGCTTCCTGGGTAACTGATAGTGAAAGCTAAAAAAGTCGGGAAGTTACAGTAACTACATCCGAAAATAGTTAGATAGTGATGTCGAAGCGGCTTGTTAAGTGTTGAATCCCCGCTTATCCAAACTATTTCAGAGATGTTCATTGTTCACTCAATAGACTTTACTGTTTATTACACTTTTGCCCAATGGCCTCGTTTTCATGTTTGCCTGTTTTAACACACATGAAGGTTAATATATCGCCATGTTTTGTGTATGAATATATTTCTCTTTGATCTTGTTGCAGACATGAGGAAATATAAACCACTGATTAGTGAAGACGACGCCATTGGTCTATAAATATAGCCAATTATAAACCTCACGGTATACGTTCTTATACCGAACTGACATAGTCAACATACTAATCAATAGAACAAATTTGTCCCAACTTAATGCAATACTTGAAAATGTGATGTGAATATATGTCATATTTAAAAACAAGGATTAATCGCGTATGTATCTAATACAGGACACGAGATCGGATTCAATCACGGTAGATATAGTAATGAAAAAATAGCTGGAATGCATGGTGATTTCAAACAATCACGCCAATAAAACAGCATCGCGCCACAGACTACTCGAATGGTTTCCTAATTGATTTAGTAAATAACCAAATAATATAAGATTTGGTTTGATACAGATCAGTGGGTTGATATTCTGCAGTTCATGCTCTATAGGGGGCGGGCATGTTAATGTTGAAAGATTGATATGCCACAATATTGATGCTAGTTGCATATTACGAAGCAATGTGTGAACGTCTCTCAAGGATTTCGAAACAAGACTTGTAGGAAATACACTCAACAAATCGCAAGGTAAGGACAAGCGTTCTGAATAAATATTGATAAACTGTTTATTGCATAAGGTCTGCGACTGCGTGACGCTTTAGGCGAAGGTATTCACTAATTTGCGCCAAAGTCCGCAAATCGCTATGATTGTTTTTATCATTGTTATTGAATAACTGAGTATCTTCCATACTATGCTCAGACGTGATGTGCAGCTAAATATAATTGTATTTATCTAGAATTTCGTGTTATCATTTGTCATCATGAAACACGAAGAAACGCGTTTCTTTTATTTAGCATGCCACTTGAAAATGTCGAAAACAGACATTCTTTAGTTTGTGAGTTAATGACCTTAAATTAAGTGCTTATTTGTTGATTATTACCTCACATAAAGAAAACATGAATTATATTGTGTAAAACTTTGGTGTTTTCTTTAATCATACCAATATCATTCATTGTCTTTTTAATTTATTGTCTTTATTTTATTAGTCATTGCAATTGTAATTCCATACGATCTTCTTTTCCGTAAATTTAATTATGCGTCCGTGTTTCATGATCACCGCATGCTATATGTTTACACCTCACACTAGCGGAAAGAACCGTGTAGAAATCTATAACGATAAGATAAAAACACGGTAAACTTTGACCGCAAATTAATAATGGTAATAACAAACAATAGAATCTTGCCAAATGTGATTGTGCCACTTTAAATAACTGGAAAGATGCACGACATTCTTAATATGGCACTCAAAAAACCGATTGATAAACAGATCGTGGCCAGCCTTAACCTTCAAATGTACATTTACTGAAAAACGTTTATAAGTATTAAACTTGGATCAAACTAGGATGACAGTGAGACTTGGCAGTCACGCGACCTTGGGCTTTTTAAATTTTTAAATTTAATTTCGCCTGAAAATGCTGAAATATATATAACATTTAACAACAATACATTATTTACAAAATTAAGGGCTAGGAACCTACTATAAGAAACCAAAAGGCTTTTATTTAAAATGCTGTTCTTAATGCTTTCCTAACACTATAATGTGTTCTATGTAAATTAAAACATATAGTTAGAACACTCACCAAACCTTTATGTTGTTAATCTATAGAGCGTGTACAGTATTTTATAGAAGATAACTTATATGAAGCCTCGCGCACTGATAAGCATACTGGTGCGTCTGTTTTGTCTCACATATTGTGGCGATTTTTGAGCTGATGACAAATTACATCCTGATACTGATAGTATACATAATTATATTTTTTTATCGGACGGAACGATGCGAGACTAAAATAGTGCGAGCAAAGGCATGTAATCAGTATTTTAACTATGGACAATCAATGCAAGCAGATTGACTGACATGAAACAGTTTTGTCTATATTTTAGCATGAAGAACACAATTATTGCTTTACCACCTGCATAAAGATAGTGATCCCTGGACCAGTGGATCGATGCTGGAAAGTAGATCTTGGGATAGATACGTACATGAGCATGCATATACTAAATTTAAATTAAAAATAGCACTTAATTAATGGTTGCGAGATTAACGTTCCTGATATATAAGAACTTGTCTTATTAAAAATCCATAAAAAAAGTACCGAGGTGTATACGTAAATCGCTGTTAAAATGCACGGTATTTAAAAATATCATTTTAGTACTGATGTATTGATTGGTGTTGGTAATTTTTTAAGATGACTTTTTCATTAAATATTTCGTTGAATGTCTCGCAAACCTCATATGATTACTATTAATAAAGTGGTAGAACGACATTTATATATACCAGCACATTTTAACATCCCAAAGTAAGATTAAAGATGGATGGGAGAAGTTTCTCTATTTCTTAACCTGGCTCTACCTGGAATATCAGGTTGCTGTTTCTTGCTATTTCACAAGTGACTAGTGGAATGTGATGTTGAGGGATCTGGAATAGGCTACCAGAAAAATCATTTCAGTGCCAGGTATCGATTTGATGTACGTCGTTCATGTGTAAGGCAATATTGTTTCAGGAATTTTAATTGAAAGCACAGACAGGCATTTCTGTCATTTGTCTGTCAGTTACATAAACTTTAAAAATATATTACTTGTAACTAATAAGTTCAAAAACTATAACTATAATATTATTCCAACAGTTCAATATCAACTCGAGGGTCACCAGGGGCGCTTTCCTTAATTAATGGCCTGACCGGTCAGACCCGAATTATTTTCTCTGTATCAATGGAAAGATCTGGTCTATGTTTCTCAAATATCTAGCGAAAATGGACCTCATTCTAATTTTATCTAAATTTTCCGGTCAGATAGGTCCGAAGCCCAAATGTTTTGTGTTTCATTCAACAATTTGACCGTTCTGACCGGTCTGGCCGTATTAATGCAAAGCGTCCCAGTGTGATCAGTGTATATGTGAGAGTTAAATACACTACTATACTTTTAGGAATTTGTCAGTGCATGGGGGCCGGGGCCGGGCGGGGGACTGGAGGGTGGAATGAAGAAAAATCGAGGACCTAAGTAGGAGGGTGGTCAACTGGAAAAGTGGGATCTTCTAGGGGAATCTGGGGGTCACCCACATATTTTTGTCAACCACTGCGGCATTATTAGAAACATTTGTTTATATATTTCTTGTGCTAAACAAAGTCGTGGTCATACGGGAATATTAAAACATTGTGAGTTATTTTCTCCTTTTTGCAGGAACCTTCACTTGGAGGGGGAGGGGGGGACTTTGCCCCGCAGTTTCGAACTCCTTTCCACTCTAAAAACTATTCAAAAGTTAGAAAATGTATCCTATTTATAGTTGAGGGACTTCATATGATGCGATCATTCATATAAATTATAGGCATGCATAGCTGATAAAGAAATGAAAATCCAAGATTAATATATAAGTTGCCGAATTAGCCATTCTCACGCCTCCATTTTTGGGTGGCAACCTTTTCAGAACAGGGATAGTAAACAGTGAAAATGAAACTTTCTATAACTATAGTTGTAAGTATAATCATTATAAGTCGATTTACACTTAAATATTTGAAAAATTATTACACACATCGCTAGCTTAGATTTTTCACGTTGTTTATAAAATAGTACCAAAAAATGGCGGATTTAGACCTTCGTGAGAAAGGCTAATTGAACTATGCTACCGATGCAATCCTTTACATCCCTGAAACCAGACCTGTATTTTCTTTACGTATTTTCTTATTTTAACGCTAATATGTGTAAAAACAATTGTTTTACTTCACAACTTATTAGGAGATTATCACAGAAATTAAGTGCTATTGATAGAACACTGCATGTGTGTCTTGTAGTTAACTTATCCATGATAAGTGTGTACGACTCTAGTGTAGCTTTGTGTCGTGAAGCAAATACAACGGTTTTCAAAATATAACGATTGTAAGTGGCATTTTGATACTGAATATAGCTTTAGGTCAATTAACTAGGCAGATGTTTTTCACTTTTTAACAACTTAGTAAAGTGCTCGTATTTGATGAAACGTGGATAAGTATGATGTTTCGTTTCAAAAGACACCGCGTCATAAGTAGATTCGAGCGTCGTAAGCAGAAGCGACTTCACCAATTCATCATGTGAGAGTAGAAAAGTGGTGTCAAGGATCGAGTAGGTGGTCATCGTGAGAACGTTCGAGACGTAAATAAAACACATTGCATGTCTGGTACACTGCTCGTTGCCAAGTTGACTGAAATATTGGTTTGGATAACGTTACACAGTTTACAGAAACTGCACGTGGCAGTTGATTTTGGCTTTTCATTAGACACATCAAACTTTTATTGAAACTGAATACTAGGAAGAAACCCACAAATTCATCTGCACTGATGCGCTTCAACGGCTTCATCATCCAACAAGATATATGCACGCTGATGAAGTTCATTAAAACGTAAAGATAAATTAAGGAATTATATCGTAAAATATATCATGTAAACTAAGAAATGTCCAAAGGAATTAAAATTCACTTGGGTAACTTTACACAAACCGGGCTGATTTCAAGCCAGGTTGAAAGAGGAATAAAACTTTGGTGATTTGGTGTCAAATGGTATGTTTCACATAAATGTATACTAATTATAAGTTTGGTTTGAACATAACGGTTTTGTGTGTATTGTGCGTTAAATAGTTGTTAAAAATGATCAAACTCACATTAATTATTTCTTAGATACGTGATCATATTTTATAAAACAAATCACATGTCTCAAGAATTCGAATTCAGCTGTGATCAAGTTAATTACCTTAATGGTAATTAGTGTAAATGCCATGCAGTAACACAATATACATTCAGTAACTATACTTTCAATCGAGCTATCAATTGTTGCTCTACTTTCAATTTCCGTTTAATTTTAGTTGTTTAACAATATTTGGAAACGTTTCAATAAATTCCGGCGTTGGCAACTCGTAGACATTAAGATAAATTGTGGACTTACATGCATGATGACGGAAATTTCGAGTGTGTATCTAATGACGTCGACGTTCTATCTCACTCCTCCACAGGGCCGTATATAGACTTGGATCAAGTCCGTCTCTAGATTCCGAGTCGCGAAGCGACGAGATCGAACAAAAAGTGGCGAAATATAATTATCAATATTATAAATGTGGTCCGACAATGCATGCCACCATTTTACAAACAATGCGCACGATGCAAAATATATATGCACAGAAGACATTACCACACTGCAACATTGCTTATGCTCGAGCTTATATGCTCGTGAAAGCAAAATATATCAACGATACTAAATACCTGAATGTTTCAAGTGATAACAACATCGAACAATACGAATCAATACTGCTCCAATCAGCTTTTTGAAAGCTTTCGTCGAAACTTAAAACACTATACATACAGTCTGTAAATCATACAACCCGAAATTGAAAGTATTTTCTATATATAGTAATACTATTTACTTGAGTTGTTTTGTTTGGTTACGAATGTCTGGCTTCGTAGACTTCATTTGAACGATTTTTTAGGATATATATCAGTGATACTGAACTATTGCATGGAATCAACACAGGTTAAACAGCATAATATATTGAATACATGATATGAACGTTAGGCTACATACATAAACGTGATAAACCCATGTCGGGCCATGATTTATAAATATGATGCGTTATACGGCATTTGTGATATAATGTAAATGTATTATTTTTCGAGTATTCAGCGTTACTTTCATGTTAAATTTTTGCCGTACTTTTAAGTTTAAGTTAACTTTTATATTAAATTAAATATCTAACATGCGTTTTGCTCAATATTCGATTTTGAAGTGGGTAGTGCTTCGTGTGTCGCGAGTAGTGCGTCGTGGGTAGTGCGTCGTGGGTATACGGTGTTGGGCGTCGTATAGACAATGAAAATATTTTTTAAAAGCTAAAGTATAAAAGTGATATTATATTACGCTTTTACTTAAATGTTCCAAACTAATTCGTTCGCAAGTACAAAAGTTCATAATGAAAGTGACAAGCTTGTAAACAAAGCATCTGGCATCGATTATTAGAAAAAAGATCTGTGACAAACGGTTTGTGAGTGCAACGCCAACGAATTTGCGAAGTTCATCATGGAAAAAACCCTGATCTAGTTAAACTTCCAATCAGTATAATTAAACACGGATCATAATTATTCGTTGCAAGTATTTTTTTAGTAACCTCTACACGTCAAGTTTTACGCGCTGAATATATACACCATAATTTGCATATATGGCCTTATCTATCCGTCAGCCAGCAGGAAATTAAATGAGGATACATGTATCTAACAACTTTAACTTTTCATTGATTGAAAATTTGAACATTATATCACATTAGCATTTTAGCCGTTTGTACCAAATTTATAACAGAATAAGCAAAACTTACTAAAAAAAATTATAGTGAATATCAATTTACGTAAGTATAGTTTGATTGTCACTTTTTTATAAGCCTGTTTCAGACGGTTAATTTGCTAGACGCTCCATGCATATGTATCAAATTCAATTAAAGAATAAGGTATGAATTCGGCAAAGCGTACTTGTGGTGAAATGGTATTAATCAGAATCAGAATCATTTATTAATTAGTACCATAATTACCAACTATTTACATATTGAAGAGAAGAAAAGATTGAAACATAGTAGTATAGGTACAAGCTAACTGTAACAACCAACCAGAAAAGGTCATTAGGCGTACTAGTTTTTTTTGCAAGATAAAGATTGGGTTAGTATAGATGAAGCGTAAGTGTTGCCCCAAGCCACAAGTCCATATGTTAGGTAAGGATAGATCAAGGAGTAATAAAGATTCTTGAGTATACTAGTATTAACTAAACTCCTTAATTTAAAAATAATTCCAATATTTCGTCTAATTTTCTTTGAAATTTCAGATATGTGTGATTTCCAATTCAGGTGACAATCAATTACAATACCAAGATATTTAATGGTCTTTTCTCTTTTAATGTGTAATTCATTTAAGGAAGTTGCACAGTGTAGTCAAGCTTTTTCTGTGGAGGGTGAAAGATAAGGGACTGGTCATAAAGTAACTGCTACGGTGGGCTGGAGGTAAATCACAAATTTTGCCAATAAGTTCGGTGACCCATCTTAGGATGTAGATAAAAATTTCAAAGCCCATCTAATCTTACAAAAAAGTTTCATGACCCACCCAATCTAAATTGGGAAAATACACTTTTAAACTTGCAGGTAGGAACATTGTAAATATACACGGCACTGCATTAGCCGAATTCATATTAGAGACGAGAAACTCGTCTTAGACGGGAAACTCGTCTAATATGAATCCTGGGGCAGACGAGTTTCCTGTCCGAACTTTCCCGTCTAACTTACCCGTCCAGAAAGACGGGAAAGTTAGACGGGAATCCCATCTAGACGGGAAACTCGTCTTAAATTCGAATTTACCCGTCCCTAAATTCATATTCAGACGGGTTTTCACAGACGAGTTTCCCGTCTAAGACGAGTTTCCCGTCCCTAATATGAATTCGGCTATTGACATACATAATTCCACCAAGCTTGACATACTGAGCTGCTCTCCAGTTGGTTGTATTTGCTGTGACTCGACCACTTCTTGTCGTTGTATAAACAAAGTATTAGCTTCAATAGCGTCATTTGCATTTGATAATTTGGATAGTCTTCTTTACTTTTATTATTAATATATTTATTTTTTGAAGTAGACATGCATGGGTTTTTGTTTGGTGGCCCAACCGTGGACATACAAAAAAATTGGCGGCCCATCGAAACTGCCCAAAGATTTTCCCTGGCCCATCCCAAATCACTCCAGCCCACCCTAGCAGTTACTTTATGACCGGTCCCCAACATAGCTTGTTTTTTCAATGTTTAAGGATAATTTGTTTGCACAAAGCCATTCATGTACACTTACAAGTTCATTGCTTACTGTCGATTCTATAGTATTAACCAAATATGTACACCCGATGAATGTTTAACTTCTCTTATCTACTGGTAACATCGTACCATAGCCGGATTTAAGATGGCTCGACACAGTTTTCAAAAAATGGAAAATTCACGATTTAGATCCGTATTTAAATTCTCAAAATAATTGAGTATACTAAAAGAAATCATTTTATGAAACTGATAAAAATTGGGGGTCACCGACGTCATTTACGAGTTAGATTACTGTAATTAAAGTCAACCACCCACAAGTTCAGCGAATTCACCAGTGTGGCAAAAAAGATTCGTGCAAGCTATATAATTATAGCTATTTATAGCTATAAATAGCTATAATTAGCTTACAGTAATCAAGTAATGTTTATTTCCCAAACCGGTTTGACATATTTTTACAAATGGCCAATCACATGCGAGATTCAAATTCTGAACCTAATCAAGTGTGGAAGTGGGATTTGCAACCGATGTAGGCTCTTCCTTAGCTTCTCGCCTCTCGTTTCTTCGCCTCGCAAAGAGCCTCTGGAACCAGGGTACGCCAGCCGTTGATTGGTCAGAATATGCTATTACCACTGATCTGAAAATATAGAACCTGGATAGAGCTTGTATACACTGATCACACCACGTGGTCACCTGACAAAACACTGTTCGTTTAACCAAAAATAGATCACTCTATCACTGCTCCATTTACTGTTCGGAGTACTCCGGATTTTTGGAACACTAATTGAATCGAACCTACTCAAAAGTAGGGGCAGCCAGAACAGTCATGTGACCGTCAGAACAGTCATGTGACCGTCAAAACAGTCATGTGACCATTATTGGTTCATCATCATCATCATTTATTTGCCACAACACAACAAGAATATAGATATTTACATTAATTGTAGTTTGAGTATCAAAGTTGAGCAGTAGCGAGAAGACCTCAAGAAGCTAAAAGGCTTATATTAAGAGGCCATCTCATTTGTTAAAATAACTTTGTAATAAATAAATTGAGTGAAGAGGAGGCCTAGTGACAGTCGTCACGAGGCCCCCTAGTTCACTGTGACAGGGCCTTTTTTAAGGATTTTCCCGTGGGGGGGCATTTTTTGAAAAGGGACCTTTCTGTGAGATAATATAGAGTGTATCTAAAAGTCGAGAGTCGAGAGTAAAGGTCGAGAGTCGAGAGTAAAAGTCGAGAGTCGAGAGTAAAAGTCGAGAGTCGAGAGTAAAAGTCGAGAGTCGAGAGTAAAAAGTCGAGAGTCGAGAGTAAAAAGTCGAGAGTAAAAAGTCGAGAGTCGATCGAGAGTAAAAAGTCGAGAGTCGGCAAATGTCATCAGAAACAAAGTCAAAATATTTTTATTTTTTAACCACGTTTAACACAATCTATGTATATAGCTTTACATAGCCATTCCGTAACAAGTACCAACGGCTGAAATACAAACTTTCCAATAAATATTGCTACAACAGTCAATAATCAGTGGCGGAAATTCACTTTTTCCGGTGTGGGGGGGGGGGCAAAGCCTCCTAAATTTCCGACAAAACTTTGAAATTTCCGACGTACCCCCTCCCATTTGCACTCGAAAAGACTGTTTTTAGCCCACTTTTAGATCAAAATTTCCGAAAATTCGTCAATTTTCCGGAAGGTGGGGGGGGGGGGGGCGGCCCACCAAGATTTCCGCCAACGTCAATAATAATAACGTGATAACAAAAACAAAAAAGATTGGATAAGAAAATAATATCGCATTTGATGCCTCAATCTTGCTAAATGTTTTCACATGTCATTTCATTCTAACTGACATGCACATAAACTCCGCTGAATTTTGACAGCCATCTCCAGGCTTGTAACTAAAATGTCACTTATTCATTAACGTACGTTTATATCTAACGATTCATACAATTGTGAATTCATAAATACGAGCCAGTAAAAATAGGATTCTTTTGTCGTATGTGCGACTCTATCGGGTGGTAATATGTCTCGCACGTGATTGTAAAGTCCTAGTATTTATATGTAGCTTCACATATGAGAAATTTTTCGCGGAAATAGGTGCATGTAAAGCGGGAAGGATGGACAGTAATATATAAGGAAGCGATAAAACTAGTTATTAGATAATAGTTATTTGATTATTGAATGTTGTGCCTAAATTTTTGCGAAAGTTTTTGTTTTATATTGTACTGGATTATTCCTTTGATTGCATGTATATGCCTCTTGTTTACTTTAATTTCGAGAATTTGAGCATACTAAATTATGTTTCGCAAATATTGTTTGCTTTATGTTCCGATACACAGGGAATGAAAGGTTCAGCCGTCATAGGCGTACGGGCGGGAAAAAACAGGGAGCCAGAAAGAAATTTACCCGACTTTTACCCACTGAATAAAATTTTCCGTGTAACTAAATTTCCAAAATTGTCGTTGGGAAGTAGACAAAAATATTTTCCTATTTGTCGATTCCTCGTTACTTTTACATATTTCTGGTATTTTCAAATACCATATTGCATATACTGTCTTCTTTTTAAATTTATTTCCCCCAATTTTTGGCCGAATTTATTTTGGCTGGGGTGCGGGACTGCCTCCCCCCCCCCCCCCTCGCCCGTACGGCTATAATCAGCCGTTGTTACGGATCGCTTATATATTGTGTTACTGTAAAAGTATTTTGACTTTGTTGTTTCTGATGACATTTGCCGACTCTCGACTTTTTACTCTCGATCGACTCTCGACTTTTTACTCTCGACTCTCGACTTTTTACTCTCGACTCTCGACTTTTACTCTCGACTCTCGACTTTTACTCTCGACTCTCGACCTTTACTCTCGACTCTCGACCCTCGACTTTTAGATACACTCGATAATATATTAGAGGGGGATAGCAATGGCTGAAAGCCACGTGTGTGGCAAATATACCACGCATGAATGGGGGGTCTGGGACTCCCCCAGAAAATTTTTGAAATTTGACTCCCGTAAATGTCATTTCCTGCATTCTGAGCATCCAATTTTGCTCCAAAATTTATCCTAACTATACTTGTATTTGAAATAAATAAAGGAAGAAACACACAAAAAGTAAAAAAAAATTAACCATCATTTATCATTACTTATTAGAGGAGGATAGCAATGGTCAGGTGTGTGGGGGTGTACTCCCCCAGAAAATGTTTGAAATTTGAACCACGGAAATGCCATTTCCTGCATTCCGAGCATCCAAATTTGCTCTAAAATTTATGCTAACTATAGTTGTATTTGAAATAAAAGATGGAAAAATGCACAAAAAGTAAAAAAGAATATTAACTGTAATTTATCATTACTTATTAGAGGGGTAATCCCAAGAAAATTTTTGAAATTTGAAACAGTGAAATGCTATTTTCTGCATTCTGAGCATCCAAAAAAAAAATATTAACAATAATTTATCATGGCTTATTGGTAAAAAAAGTAACAATTTAAATCGATTTTGTTAAACAAGAACAAAGGCTAAAGCCTAAAACTTACTTTCCGTTTATCTATTTGTTAATCTTCGCTGGATTGTTTGTATAATTTTAGGAAAAAGGGACTTTTCCTGGGGGGGCAAAATGTGATTTCGTGGGGGGGGCACAAGGGTGGACTGGGGGGGGGGCAAATGCCCCCCCAGCTTATATGTTAAAAAAGGCCCTGCACTGTGATAACTCAGAATAATTAAGATCATATCTTTGTACAAGTTCAAAACACACATACATTACTACATAATATACAAGTTAACTAAAACATGTCGATTTCGACGTCCATACGATATTATAATTTTCAAGTAGGAAAATGCATAATTGATTCTTGAAAGAGGAAATGGTGGTTTTAGCCGTAATATATGGTGGAAAAGAATTCCATGTATTCGGACCAACAGAAAGAATAGTAAATTGCTTTATGTTTGTCCGACACGCGTGAGGTCTGTAATATGTAGCCGATCTAGTGTTATAGCTATGTACTTGATTGTTTGTGATAAATAAGTTATCGAAACATTCAGGTAACAAGTGATAGTGGTATTTATACATAAATTTACCCATGTAAAAGGAATTCAATTTAAATATATCTAATATTTTTAACTGATAGAATAACGGAGAGGAGTGGGCACGGTAGTCAGAGTTCGTCAGAGCTCTTACAACCCGTTTTTGTAGAAGATAAATTCTGTTTAGATTGGTTACATAAGTAGAGGACCATACAATATTACAATAGGTTAGATAAGGATATATAAGAGTATAATATAAGCATAACTTTGTTGTAGGTGATAAAAGATGGCGAGACCTGTAGATAATTCCAACAGATTTCGCTATCTTTTTACAAATATTATTTATGTGAATTTTCCACGACAAATTCTCATCAATATACACACCTAAGAATTTGATACATTGCCTCTGGGTTAGGGTTTGATTGTTGTACTGGAGACATAAATTTATATTAAATTTTCTTTGTCTGCAGGGCCGAAAGATAACATAATTAGTTTTACTAATATTTACAGATAATTTGTTTGATTTCATCCAAACATCTAGGTTTGCCAGTTCACGATTTAAGATAATCTCGAGATTTTTAATATCCAGATGTGAATAATATACGCTTGTGTCATCAGCAAAAAGAAACGATTTGGCCAATTCCAATGCATTTGGGAGATCATTTATATATAAAATAAAGAGTAGCGGACCTAGTATTGATCCCTGATTTAATTAGTGTTCCGAAAATCTGGAGTACTCCGAACAGTAAATGGAGCTGCCTCCAGGCCACAGTCCGTAAACAGTTATAGTGTCTGTGATTGTTGTTTGACAGTTCACTATTAAATATTTGCGAGAGGTCTTTTTTCACTGCTGTTTTAAAATTGTTACAATACGCCTACTACTATACAGTAGTGCTAAATTTTCATGAGTATCAATCAGTTTCTCATTTTCATTGGCTAGATCTTTCAACGGACCTAACAGAATATCGATGTCTCAAGAAATGTCGACTGAATACTTACCAACTATTATTCCATCTGACTGCCGCGTTGCACATAGTGAATACTATGTGCAACGCGGCGGTCAGATGGAATAACAGTTGGTACACGGTAACTACATAGCCTTAATGATTAGCTTCACGCTTCCCACGACAAGTATAATTGTGTCCCTCAACTAGTAATGCTAACCCTTGGAGCACGAGTGTACGCCTGAGCCGGGCCGCCGGCGTCTTGTTTTAGTTCTAAAATAAACATTTAGCGTTCATTAATTGCTTTAAAACTTTATATTCGTGTTGACAAAGAGCTGACAAATTATGGGGTAGTTTATGGCGTATAGGCAATGACGCCATAATCGCCATTTTGTTTACAACCGCAGGCCCACTGAAAATTGTAACCTTCCCATGAGGTATGAGGGTCTGCGCAGGAGACAATAATCATGCACAATATTCTACTCGAGACAATACATCGTTTACTGTATGTGTCATGTGATTTAAATTTATATGTTAATTCTGTGGTCGGTATAGTTTGTATTTTTGTATGTAACGTTATTTTTGACATTTTTCATGAATAAGATTTGTATTGCTTATATATACAGACTATATTATTGTATTTCGTTGTCCGTGCCTTTTGCATGCATTATCTTGACTATATTGCATGCATGCATGTGCATGTTGCATTTTCGGCGCTTATTTCCTTCAACATCGATTATTACTAAAACAGTAAGTCATTCTGTATTGTAGTTTGATCAGCTTCTAAAAATTGGGATTTAATTATAATGAATGACAAATCACAATTATTATTTCTTTGATGAAAGTTTTTAAAATTACATAAGGGAAAGTACATTTATTACGCCGAGGGGATGAAGATGTCTTGAATGTCGTAAATTTTCGATCCCCCCACCTAAAGTTTTTCAATGCCCCCCCAGAATCCGGAATCGAAGGAGTACAATTCGGAATTCTCTCTTATCGCAGATACAACTTGTAGTTCCTTAAGATATATCTGATATACTCAAGCACATGCTTCTCAACAAAATACCGAATCGCTGTTTCTTTCACCTTCTCACTATCGCCATATGAAATGGCATTGGGCGTCTTAAGCCGTTTTAGATTGGCTCTAGGGGCAAAATCATCAATAGGTTGTTGTTGTCCGTCATTCAGCGTAGTCAGAGGCTTGAACACGTTCATGTAATGGCCAGGCTTTTCTGGATCAGGGTAATGTGCTGAAACCCTAAAGAACCTCGCCCCCACCCAAGGTATCTCCTGGCATCTGTTGCAAATTCCTTTGCATGCCTGTCAAAAATGCATGCAAAATGCATGCCTGTCAAAATTGCATGCCTGTCAAAAATGCATGCCTATTTCTACTAAATTTCCCATGAACATAGAACATATCATTCTTAGAAATCGTATGTTTTTTGGTTTTGGAACTGCTACGTTTTGGCGGGTAAATTACGTCACAAACTTGGCTAAAAAAAATCAGTAAAAATAAGCTATAGGTGATTTCGCGTATCCATTTAGAAGAGCAGACTAAGGGTATCTTAAAACTGAAATCGGTTTCGAAATACAACCATTCCTTGCGAAGATATAATGACTGAGATTTCTAAAAATCCGTCATTTTGTTATTCTATTTTTAGTAACAATATGGCGGATTTTTCGACATTTGTATCGCTATATCTTCCCATAAAATGGTCGTATTTAGAACCAGATTTCAGTTTTAAAGTACACTTAGTCTGCTCATCTATATGGATTTATAAAATCACCAATATGACGCAATTTACCCGCCAAAAAGTAGCAATTCCAAAAACAAAAAACATACGATTTGTAAGAATGATATGTTCTATATTGATGGAAAATTTGGTAGAAACAGGATGAAAATTAAAGAAGTTCAAGACTTGAAGCATATCTGTGCTTTAATTTGCATGCATTTTCGATAGGCGTAACTGCAGCCTTCTTAAATTACGTATTCCATGTGGAGCTCCCCCATGTGGTAGTGCCTCCAGTAGGCAAAATACATAGTTGCAGTTAGACAAGTGGTTTTGTTCATTGACATTGGTCTGTTCTGTTTGTATTATGTGTATATTAAAACTAGAAAGTGAAAGCTATTCTGCCAAAGCATCATGAAAGTATGAATTGTAATCTTATCTACCTGAAGATGGAGTAAATCTCCGAAACGTCGTTTGTTGATGTAATAAACACATTAAAAATGTCTTACTGTAATGAACACAAAATATATTATGAAAGTGTTGATGTTGATGTTGGTGGGAGTGAACACTCCAGGCTCCTACTGGACCAAAAACTTTGAAAAGTTTATAGCCCCCCTTCTGTATATCGAGAACTTTCAGACTGAGAGCCCCCTTTAAAGGCCTGATTCCACGAGGCGGAATTTTTCGACCGAAACGAAATTTTTCTTTGTCTTTTTACAATTAGTTCTGCTCGAGTGCTCATGAAACAAAAAGAAATTTCGATTCGGTCGAAAAATTTCGCCTAGTGGAAAACCGCCTTTAATGCCAGAAAATATTTCAGTGCCCGCCCTTAACATCGACATCCCCCCCCCCCCTCGGCATAATAAATATACTTTCCCTAATTGTTTTTGAAATATCCTAACTTTTAAACCGCGAAGGATCATGTGAACGTGTGTGAAATTCATTCAAACATAAGTTGAACTCGTCATGTTCTTGCGATTTCGGATGTGTATAGGCAGTTGTGAATTTTTGTGCCCAAAATCCAAGTTTGTTTGTGAAATTCCGGTTTCGCCACGCATAAGATTAACTATTAATTGAATTATGTAATATGCAAATGCAATGTTTTCGTGCCGAGCTCGAGTATTTGACTTGAAATGGCTTGTATCAAAATAAAGTCATTAAAAATCATTAATAAAGTCATTAATATGCGGCTTTTGTTGAGAAAAATAACATCTCTTTATACCATTCATTAATTCGAATGATCATAAGTGACATAAAAACTACTGGTACGCTGTTCCATACGTATGTATGGCACAAAACAATTTAATATTCAATTGATTGAGTGTATCCTCATGTTAAAAGAGTTCTACGTGGAACATTTCCTTTAAATTGACAGAATCTGTTGGCAAGATGTCCAGGAATTCCATTTGCACCTTTAATATTGGCTGCCTCAGCAACAAGAAAATATATTGCACCTTTGACGAGTATTCCTGACGCAATAACTTATGCTGTTCGTCATCAGACGTTAATTTAATAATTAAATTAATTAAATGAAGGCTGTTTTCCACTTCAACCGTATCGTAACGTACCGTAGTTCCACATTAGTGCATGCTCAGGAAACAAAGAAATACGCTTCGTACGATACGGTTGAAGTGGAAATCACCGCACAAACAGAAAGTTCCCCCCTAAATATATCATCATATAAGTTCTAAATAAATTATTACCTGATCACATCTCAGCAGTCAGCACTAATTAGACCTATGGTAGGTTGCTTAATGCTGTTTGAAGAATGGGGTCATTCGTGCTTTAAAGAATAACTTTAGCCTCTATTGAATACAAAAATACCCAATTTTAAAATTAACAAGAATTGTTATAAGTAATAGCATGGCATTCAAGGCGATTAGTGATTAAATGTACCCGAGGCGCGTAGCGCCGAGGGACTTTTACTAAACCTCTCGAGGCTTGAGGGACATTTCATCACTAATCGACCGTAATGCCATGCTATTACTTTGTAATATCATAGTTGCCGAGGGAATCGCGCATGGTGTGTTGCCTATTTTGAATGCTGTTTGATTGTCTTATGATTGTGGTACGAACACTTTTCATATATTAAACACATCTCCGTGTTCATTCGTTTTAGGCATGCGCATAAACGGAATTTTCTCCACAATTGTAATGTTCAAGATTAGGGAATAAAAGCTGGCAAAGTGATTGTTCGAATGTGTACGGGACGGTGTCGTCAGATACTGTCCATAGTTGTGCCGATGATTTTCGATGAGGTACAGCTCTCCAATCAGAGGTAATGAGGTACGCTTTTGTCTTCTAAATTTCCTTCATCAAGCATGCAGGGGAAAATTAGAAGACAAAGAAATCCTTTGTTTTCAACTAAATTTCCCGGGTAAATTTAGTTGAAAACAAAGGATTTCTTTGTCTTCTAATTTTCCCTTGCATGCTTGATGAGGGAAATTTAGAAGACAAAAGCGTATGCATGGGTAATGAGGTAAATTAGTGATTAATCGTACCTCGCGAGACAAAGGATTTCGAGGCAACTATGGTATTACTATATTTAAATTTCACAACGTACAACAGTAAATTGTTTCATCAATGATTTAATAATGGATGTAACCACCACACTTCTCGATAGCTTCAAGGTATCATCTCCTCAGAAAGAGGATGATGTGGCCTGGGAACTCGCCAGATCTCAACCCAATTGAGATTTTCTGAGACCAGCAAAAGTAGTGATCTGTCTATCGTCGGTTCGAAGAATACAGCATTACTCTGCCTGATTTGGCTCAATTGTTGTATGAAAAATGGATGGCTATATCTAGCGGCGGGTGAGCAGACGATGCCTTGAGGTGATCGAGAAGCGTGCAGTTGGTTACACTCATTGTTAAATCATTGATGACTGACAACATTACTATTCTACTGTTGTTGTGAAATTTAAATAAAATCATTCTTGCTAATTTTGAAATTGGGTATTTTTGTATTCAATGGAGGCTAAGGAATTCTTCAAAGCATGAATATAATGACCCCATTCTTCACACACAGCATTTAGCAAACTACCATAGGTTCTATTAGTATATTGGTTTGAATATCAGGTAATAATTTATTTATGAGAACTTATGATGTTATATTTAGGGGGACTTTCTTTTTGTGTGGTGTTTATAACATTAGTTTGTGTACCATCATAATTGAAAACTTTAGTTAATTGTTGCATATACCATCGTAATCCTTTCAATAACTTTATAAAAACCTACGTCAGTTCCAAAATCCAAAACTGCAGTGTGATTCAGTGCATGATAGTTTGAAGGCGTTTTAATTTGTATAAGGAATGCCCAAGGTCACGATTTAATGAGACACCGACGTTACCATGTATGGTTCAGACAACTAATATACCAATCGGTTGGAATAGCAGTGAAATATGTATAGCAGGTGCTGTAAGTTTCCATAATTAGCAATTTGTACCGTTAACAGCGAGAATAATAAATGGACAATTTTATCACACCGCATCGGCAGTGAATTTGCTTAAATAATTAAACAAAAAAGTTAGTATAAAACTCACTTGTTTTTTAAAACCAGTGTGCATAAAAATATCAACTTCATGTATATGTATGTTTAAAAGTAATTTGACCCGATTTTAACGAGAAAATGATATGTTACCAAGCCCACGACAGTTGTAATCAAATGAATTTTACGAATACAAGTTTTCCCGCGCTTTTACAAGATTTATTTTAAATATAATGGTAGAAAAAACGGTCATAATGTTCTAAATTCTTTTCATTACTTTGCTTTATCGTTAGTTGTGTGTTTGAAATTGACAAAACATCTGCTCCTGTCCTACATCGATCGTAACATATGGGGAATGCACGTGACCCTATTAAAGATCCGTGATTGTTCAATGGCATGTGACCGGAAGGCCTCTGTATCGACAAATTAACCTTAACTACTCGGGAATGTAGTTGCAAGTTTGGTTTTCACTACTGAGCAAGTAGTTTTATGTCAATTATGATAAAACGTAGAATGCACACTATTATTCATCAGTTCATGATCTTACAAGTAAGTTTTAGAACTAGTTGATAAAAGATTCTTAATTTTTCATATCTCCGGCAGAGGTATACTGTATAAAGACTACTAGTAAGCTTGTATGTAGTTTATGAACTTATTACAAATATTTGTTTATAGGCCTAATTTCATTAGCTACGATCTGAACAGCAAGCATGCATAATATAAAAAAAGGCTGTAAAGAAAAAACATTAATAGGGAACTTATAAGATGCGCATGCTTAAGCCGCGAACGTGACGAAAATGCAGTTTATATTACCTTTACTTTTGGATTTGTTACCCACACTGTGAATTTAGCATGCTTTTTGTCACGTCTGCATGCGTATAGATTTATCACATCTTAAGCCCCCAAAAAATGCATGCACATGCATCAGCGTTAATTGATAAGCACATGCATGGACAAAAGACTGCAAGTATCAGTAAGGTAGGACAGCATGATGAGAATGCATGAAACTGAACTCGCGCTTCTTGTTCATTAATATAATTATTTCTTCCGTGGACACAACGAGTTTTTTATGTTGTCCTCCAGATGTCAAGAAATCGATTAGGGTTTTATATTAGATTAACGTAACTTAAGGAAGTTAAATTTTTGCAGATCAGCCGCGCTAATGACACCATTTCGGTGCAACTGACATCTATTGCGTGTGTGTGAGAGGAAGTTGCGCAAATTATTGCATATTGGCGTGGTTATTGTCATATTGTGCATGACTCTCAAGTGTACAAACTCGGAAGGAATTAAAAAATGCAACCAACAAACACAATATAAAATGGAGAAATCAAGTAATAAACAATCATTCTCTTTCGTAGCTGCAGATGCAATGAATAGCGTTGTCCGCAATTGACGTCACGAAAATTCGACCCCCCGCGAAGACTCAGACAAACATTGGCAACATTTAATATAAATAGTATTATGATTGAGAGCTTCCTGTGAGTTAGTTTGATAGTTTGATGTTTGTTTACGGTTTATTTGTGCGAAATCATACACACCTTGTACTTTTCGCTTTACCTGAAGTGCTAGTGCAAAATATTTTTGCTTTGGAAGTAGAAATATACACTTTTTCGTCACTTTAGTATAGACTGTCGTCGTTTCTATCATAAGCGGTGTCTACTGTATTATAATAGTACATGGTTTGGCGTGACTGTTGCTATAAAAGAGGCCATAAAGAAAGGGTATGCAAAAGAAAGGGCAATAGAAAGTCTGTAGTAGCAGATATTTAACCGAAAAAATCTCGTAGTCGTACCAGATTTAATTCGTAGCCCTAGCGAATCAGTTCTAAAGTTCCCTATTTAATGTTGTTGATTTCATGTTTATACTAACTTATATGGATTTTAATACTCGCTTTAGTGTACATTATTTTATTACTTTAGACATCTCTATAATTAATAGCAAAGTCCAAAGCCAAAGAAGCTAGGATTGTTTACTATAATCTATTGACTACATATTCAACTTATAAAATACGGATTTATTAGGAATGTAATTAAAACTAATACTTTCAAATTTAAACTTTTTTAAAAAATGTCAAAGATAAACTACAAACTATATAAAATCTCAAATATAAAATCTTCCGTTGACCAGTATTTTGTTTTGACAATACAACAAAAATATGTTATTATAAAAACAACATTTTTATTTATCTATTTTTAAATATTCAGTTTTGTATTAAAAATAGAGAACCTCTCTTTAACACTGTGTTAATTAATAGCCTAACACTGTCTGGTAAACTATTGCTTCTCTCTCAGTCATAAATTTAACAACAGACGCTCTCACTGAAAACGATGGCGTCCCAGACTCATATTTTGAGCATGATCCATCAGCTTATACTGTCGATTAAACAAAGCAAAGCGGAATAAAACGCCAAGTAAGCGGTATTATAGCAAAGCGCCGGTATAAAACGCCAAGTTCTTCTTCAGCGAGTTCGGGAAAGCATCATTCGCTGGATGTATTGACGGGGGGAAATGGTTAGCTGCGAGAGTTCTTGGAGAAAAACCAGCATAGTCCGCAGTCAATAACAATCAACACATTGCTACTGCAGACATTCCCGTCCCGTCCGACTTTTCAATTCCCTGTTTCGGCAGTTTTTCTTAGTATCTCGAATCACTTGGACATGTTCCCCAGCAACAGTGCTTAGCATTAACCATGTTTGTAATTTGGGATAAATTTGAATTCGTTTTAGCACAGATAAAATAAATAAAAACGTCAATTTAGACCAATTTATGTTCGCTGCTAGTACAATTCTATACAAAATGTTAGTTTGTTTGTCTGAGTCTCGTGGGGGGTCTTCACTTAGAAAATCTATTTTTAGCTACTGCGGACAACGCTATTGAAAATATGCATGTATGATAATTGCACGGCGTTTTTTTACAGTTTGTTAATAAATAGACAGTCTCTGATTTAATTAGATACATGCCTTCGACATTTGTTTTTTATTTTGATTCTATAATTAGAAGAAGACAATTAACTATAGAATTTTCCAAAAAGAATGGTAATTGCCTATGCTATATAGGTATATGGCAACAATAATTTCAATATGGCGGACATTTTAAGTTTAAAGTAATTTACTACTAAAATAAGTTCTGTGACCCTCATTTTTTATTTTATAAAATGATTTGAATTACGTTCATGATTAAAAAAATTCTGTCGTGCAAACATTTTTCAAACAGTAGTAATTTAAATGTGCTAATTCCCAATAATGTTTGGAATAACATTTGTTTTTTTTTAAATCATGAGAATTCAAAATACTAAAAGAGATTATTTAAATGAAATAAAAAGTGAGGCCACTAACTTTATTTAAGTTACTTTAAACCCAGTTATCAGTGAAAATACATTGTTGCCATAGCAACGGCAGTCATTGATTTTTTGAAAAGTGTTGAGCCACCTTGGAGTGCATGCCATTCTGACTGACGCCGTTTGTCATAATGATTTATTTTTAGTACATTTTAGTTATAGGCCTACTTCTTTTGTTGTCATGCAGTGTGCATGCACTGTTATATAGCATAGCAACCGTATAGAATAATTACTGCTGTTTATATTTTATTTACAATAACTTATGCAGTCGATAATAAATTCTCTATCAGCGAATTCTTAAAAGGCTTAAAAAATCGAATTTATCAAAATAATATCGCTCGAAGCTATTGTATTCGACCATTCGTAATTAAGAAGAAAACATAACATCCATCAAACAAACTCCCACTCTTTTAATTGATTCATCAGTTTTAATATTCGAAGCACTACAGCCCACATCAATTATAATTTCGTGCGTACAATTACGTAAATTGGCGAAGTTTTCAAGTGTCTTAATGTATTTGTCCGGCTATAGCTCTTAAGATATTAATTAATTAAACAAAGAGATCTACACGCCTCTGGCTTAACTGATGTGTTTGTGTTTCTTTACCCAACTATATCCATCTTTATTTATGCTACTATAGATTCTACTTGGTGAAATTCTGGATAAGTAAGAATGGAAATACTGGAAGAAAAAAAATCAAATATATATGTGGATTATTGACAGTACGAGATTTCTTTCAATTATTTCGTTGTAAAAGGCAAATGTAACTCCAAATGATTGCCCGACAATTTTAAAGGATTAAAAAGATTTTTGTGTAGATTGCACGTAAATAATAATAATATGTTTATCAGGTTCTGTCAACTTACGACATGAATTTTACATTAGGCATTTGCCAAATTTGACATTAAAAAAATTGAAATCATTTTAATACGGATTGATAATTAATTTACACATATGTTCCCCCGCCATTCTTCCGGCCCACAAACATATTCATAAAAAATAAGAAACATTTATCTTGTAGCTAATGTTTGCCATACATGCACAATGTAGACGAACGCAAATTACCATTCATTATACTCAGTAGACAGTAACATCTGGAGAAGCAACTCAAGGAAGCACTCAACAGTTCATAAAATTATGCAATGAACTGGCTATATATATATACTCCTATATATGTTAACCCAGTTTACAATCAATGGTATTATATTTGAACAGTCCAATTTGGAAATCATGGCAAGAAGGTTTTAATGTTTACTAACAGGGTATATTAGGATTAAAAAACATTATACAAGGCAAGTAATTATTAACAAGGGTCGTTTTTCGTATATATATATATATATATATATATATATATATATATATATATATATATATATATATATATATATATATATATATATATATATATATATATATATATATACTGTAGATTCCATTATTCGTTAAGTTTAATATTTAGATTTAAACTTTAGAGGTAATGCGATGAGAATGTGCATGAATTTGAATGTGAAGGTGAATGGATATAGTCGCTATACCAGTTACTTATATTTCGGATATGTGTAGCTACACTGCAAATTCAAGAGTTGAATCAACCCCAAAACTGGGAAAGGAACTTCAGGAAACTTTAGCAGCGACTACGAGTATACGAGTACGAGATTCGTCAAGCGAAACGCATACTGTATGCTTACGCGACATCCCGTACTGACGCGAAAAAGTCGTAGCCGTCGCCAATCTGAGTACGAAATTGTGGAGAAATCTCGTAGTCCTCACGACGACTTTTCAAAAAAACAAAGAAAGTTGGCTTTTTTGTTTTCCAAAAATTTATTTTGTAGCGTTTATATAGCGTTTATCCGGCGCAAATAATATAGGCCTATTAGCACTAAATATCTGGCCTGTTTTTAATGTTAGCCTACGACTTATTTACACGTTTTGTAGGGGATTTTAGTCTGCAGGAAATTTAGTTTATAAAACTTTTTCTCTCGTTGTTGGTTAATTTACTGCTATAAAAGCAATATTTGAATGGAAACAAAAATGACTATGTTGATTACCTCGCAGGCGATCAAACAGATCTCGTACTCGTACTCCCTGCTAAAGCTCCCTATTCTGTCAACGACGGTGACAGATGAACAAGCTTTGGTTGATGGGGATGCAACTACCTGAAAAATAGAAGGAGACTAAAGTTTCACGACGTTTCGAGCGAAGGCCATTCGTCTGGAGTACTATAGGTAACTATATAGCTCCAGACGGAGGGCCTTTGCTCGAAACGTCGAAATTCTCCTTATATTTTTCAGGTAGTTGATTCCCTACCAACGAAAGCTCATTCATATTATTGGCATTATATACCTACACTTGTACAGACAGTTCACTGTGACAGAATAACACTTTTGGATTCCTCGAAATTTACGTACAGTGCATTTATATACAAGTATAATGAATCATGTCAAGTATCATTAGTGTTTGTAACAACAGTCACTCCCTCTATTTTCTTAGCCGGCTTATTGTTATTCTAGCGTTTTACCACTTTCCTTCGCAGAGGTTTTATTTTTTAGTTAACACGCGGGCTGTAGCTGTATACCTCGAATTAAAACGTACCAATTATACCTGCATGCCTATATAACAATTCGCGGGTATATAGCCCGCTTGTTTAACTGAAAAACGCCCGCTCTACGATGGAGAGAGGCGTTTTACGAAAAGTATATAATGTTGCCAAAATGTTTGCACATTTTACATTTATGTTGATGACTTAATTCGATCTTAAGGCGTTTCCCCAGGGAGATATGGCAATGCGCACGTATAGTTTACCGCTATCAATATTGCATTTTAGCATGCAAAATTGCACATCTTGAAATAATCTCTACTGCGTGAAAGGGGCAAGCACGTTTGTTTATGTTATGCCGTTATCCATACAAAAGCGCTTCAAGGGGCAATGACGTCATGTGTGCGTGTATTGTCTGGAAGATATCTTCCGTTGCATAATTTAATTTATAGTGAAAAAAAATCTGGCAGTATATAGTCAGTAATTGTCCTGATGATAACGACTCCAGCTGCTGTGCTGCGCTAGTTTAACATTTTCAATTTTAGTATATCAAACGTCAACGTTTAGCCTAGACAGTACATGCAAGAGCAAAAAACAAATAAGTATGGATATAATAATATTGTTATGGTGCAATTTGAAAAAACCCATCAAAATCAATGACGATCAAAATTGCACGAGCATATGTTTTTCAAATTGCACGAGAAACTATATATACTATTACTTATTAATAAGAATATGCGAAAAATATGCAGAAGCAAATTTATAATCATTTGCATACATTGCATGCATGAAACACGTGCAAAATAAGTTATTTACTCATTCATTTGAATGAAACAACAACTCAATACAAATTTACAACTGCCAGAGTGAAGTTTGTAACGGATTACTCTTTTTTGCAATGAATTTCCTTATACGGCACTGAATTAGTCCATTTTTGACACTACATTAACATAAAATAGCACTATTCTTAGACAATCATGTATAATTTAGTAATTATTGTCCATGTATACTATTAACTGAGTAACAAATTATCACAGCACTAGTTGTAACTTTGTAATAATAAAGTATTTTGAAGCATATTTTGTAGCAGCATAATATTTATGTGTAAACCGATATTTGCGAAAGTTTTACATACAATCAAAATTTAGCCAAAATACTGTCGTAGATAATTATCACTTTTCCATAATGATCGCTGAGAAAATAGAGTGTTTGAACAGTTGCCTCGCAGAAAGTATTTGCATGAGATTGAACTTTGGGAATCTTACATAATAATTGTGTGTTGCATTTCCAAGTCAGATCGGTATTTCTATACTACTAGCTGCAGTATGACATTATATATATTATTGTCTCAGTCCGGTCTTTGGAGTAAAGACTAACCAATTGGTATAACTGATGCAGCTTGTTAATATTAATATATTTGTTGTCATGCATATATGTTTGATTATTAATAATATAAAACATCAGCGGATGAACTGTATTGGGTTTAATTTCATTTAATGTGCTTTAATTATTTATGTTTCTTTTTCAGGTCTCCTAGTGTGTTTTGTAAGAACTACCAAGACGAGAAGTAAGTATCCGAAATAAGCAGAGTTACATTACATAAATTTATATACTGTACATAATTTGTGAATGCCAACAAATGCCGTCAGAAAATTCATGTCAAATTAAATATCAGCAAAGACCAGTTGCGTGATACTTAAGTTCGCTATCGACTCATCATAACGTTTGACGGTTCGACTTGCATGATAAGAAAGAACAGCTACAGATTTTCTTCTCAAGGCTATCATTTTAGTTCAATCATGTTCAGAGAAGGATGCACATATATTCAATCTTTCGTCAATATCAATGACAAATGACAATTAATGCGCCGTCGTTCGGGGAATTTTTGGAGGGTTTTAATTTTGATCATCCTGATCTTTCACTTTCGTGAGTTACAAAAAATGAAAGAATGCATCCAGCATTTTGCATTTTGCAACAATGACGAAAAAGCCATAATTTTGGATGAACATGTTTAGGAAAAAGTGCAATTTTTGCGTTTTCTAGTGTTTTTAAGATTTAGAGACAGAGTGCTATATCCATCAGTGTGCACTTGAGAAGTACGGACAATTGAAATAGCCAGTTGAGGCTTCCACTGATTATTCAGAATGAATAACAATATGATAATAATTTGGAAGACGAAGAAAATACTATTGTTTTGAGAGGATTGTCTTGATCATTTTTACATTTCAGGCAAATGTATCTTATGCAATTGATATTCAATCTTAGATTAATATCAGGTCGCATGAAATATTGAAGTTATTATCAGATTTTTAGTTAGTGTATAAATATCCTTTGACTATTTTATGAATATATATTATGAATTATAAATATGCCAATGAATAGCTTTTCAGCCAGTTTTCAAATGGAACATCCATTTTTCTTGGATGCACATACAGCTATTTCAATTAAGGTTGTCCACGAGCAAAGCGGAAAAGTCGAATACGAGCGCGAAAGGCTGCTGGGAATCGTTAACAAATTAATAAATTTTCAAAGCGGTTCCCAGCAGCCTTTCGCGCTCGTATTCGACTTTTTCGCTTTGCTCGTGGACAACCTTAATTGAAATAGCTGTATACCGCCTACTTGACATTTTTGCAACTCTTTGTCTATGCAATTATGATCATATGATGAGAAATATTCTGATCATATTAGAGGCTGTCTCCTCCGCAGAAGGCACGCAAACGAAGGAAGCGAAGGGAAAATAAACACGACCACTTCCCTTCCTCGCCCGCGATCCGAATTTCAGCGGTCAACCTCATACTGAGTACCGTACTTTCTAGCACAAAGGAGCATTGGAATTTGGGATTATGGGTTGCAATTCCATTACATTATAAGGCGTAATAATTATTAAAATGTTAACCAGATCGATATTACGGTACCCAAGTTATGTATCGCTTATTTGTTGCGTTTATAGTTTGTTACAAGGCTAGGAAATACTAGTGTTTCCTAGCCTGCGAACAGGAAATCAGGCTGTGGGATCGAGCTACAGTTGTTTAATTAAGCCGCCAACTATGTCTATAGTGTTCATATAGATACTTAAGTCTACTAGAAATACATGCATGCAGCAACCCCTCGCCTTGCCAGCAAAACCACTATATTTTCCAAACATGAAGTATTTGAAGTGGTTGTCATGATACACGGCAAAAAAACGCTCAGGTTGATGCAATACTGATGAAAACAGGATTGAACAATGTTTTGCCGCCCACATTGTTCATAGCTGTCAACATTATTGAATAATATTGTTACACCCGATTCAGGCTCAAAAACATTGTTCAATATTGTTGACAAGTGTGAACAACGTGGGCAGCAAAACATTGCAACGGGCTCGGCGTTTTTTGCCGTGTATAACACGATCATTTTATTCCTTTTATTAAAAAAAACCTCCAAAAATCAATTTTAATTACAAAATTAACAATTTCCCAAAATATGCATGTTATTATCAGTAATATAAGCTTCAATTTAATGTAAAATTCAACCACAAATGCTCCAATAAGCTCTCTCTATATATTAATTATATTATTATTTCATCATACGCAACATCAGTTTTAGAGCAATTATATATAAAGCAAGCAACACATCAATATTTAAAACAAACCTTACGATTTCCAGCAAACTCTACGATTTCCCTGATGTTTTGTTATGAAGCAAAAACAAAATAAACTCTTTGGCTGCTCGTCTCATTAACGATTCGTTTTTTGAGTAATATTTGCACTTTTTTCGCCGCAAATTTCCCTCTTTCCACTCCACAAATAGGTACTTTTGAGTTGAGTAGGAGGCCCATGACACCATGAAACAAATCCACGCGCCCGCGATTATTGATTAACTTTAGAGCCTGGTGTAGATCATTGAAATAAATATAATTGGAACGCCATCTTACCCGTGTGTTTATATCATGACTGATTGACCGACTGATTGAGCGTGCTTCCCCTGCATGAAAAGACTGGAACTGGCCCTCAAGTTTGGCTTCAAATTTCCGGTTGGAGGCAATCTCGTTCCTAGAGTATATAACCCGCGAACAGGCATACTCTGGGAACGAGATTGGGTTGGAGGTAGTATCGTATCGTAATTAACTATATTATTAATTAACTTAGCACTAATACTCACTAATTTATCTCAGTAATGTATTATCATAACTTAACATAATTAACAGTAGTTTTCCTGTATATCTTGTAACAGCTCGATCTCTTCCGAAAATTAAGGCTATGTCTTAATTGTATAAAGCGTTTCAAATTAAGACATTGCCTTAATTTTAAGCATAACCCCCACCCCAACCCCCACCCTAACCTCTAACTCCTAAGCCCCCTAACCCCTAACCCTAATCTAATCTTGGTCTAACCCTAATCCAATCCAGATCTGGCGACCTTTTTTTTTAAAAAAATGTTCTACAACACAACAATCAGTAATAGTACCCCGTAGTGGTTTACCGCCGTTTCCCCCGTTTGACCCGCTTTCAAATCCAACAAATACTGGTCTTAGATGGCAGAAATGGCTTCGCCGGTTTGAAAATCTCCTAATAAGCCTTCGTGAAACCGATCCAACCGTTAAAAGAGGTCTTTTGCTAACGTATGTAGGAGAAACAACGAACGATATTTTTGATACATTGCCAAGCACTGACACAGACTATGACTCAGCTGTACAAAGTTTAACCGAACGTTTCGACCCAGCTATTAATAAGGACATGGAAATATACGAATTTCGTCAAATTACTCAATCATCAGGAGAAACACTCAACGAATTTTACCGCCGTTTAAAGGAAAAAGCCAGTACATGCGAATTTGCTAACGAGGAAGCGGAAATACGAACACAAATAATACATAAAACATCAGATGCACGCCTTCGCCGTAAAGCTCTACGCGATGAGCCAGATTTAAAAGCATTATTAAAATACGGGCTTACGTTAGAACAATCAGATCGCCACAGCAATTGCAATTACTAGACGAGGACAAAAATACGCCTTATAGACAAACAAATTTCATCAAAGGCAAGAATTGGCAAGAACGCCAGAAGGGACGTAATTCCCAGAGTAATAACACCCGGTACAACGCACCAGCAAAGCAAAGTACGCAAAAATGTCGCAATTGCGGTGGTTCTTATCCCCACATCGGAGGAAAATCCTCATGTCCAGCCGCAGGAAAAAAGTGTTTCGAATGTGGGAAAATGGGTCATTTTGGAAAACAATGCTTGTCAAAGCAACGACAACAAACACGCCCATCACGTCCCAATCAACAACAGCAAAATAATCGAAAGGAAATTCGTGGTCTGTCAGAACACCAGCAAAGCGACACTGATGAAGAATTTATTTACACTATCATGGCATCAACGAAAACACCACAAACAACGATCAACATTGCCAACGTGCCTATCCCAATAATAATTGACACAGGATCGTCTGTGAACATTCTCAATTATGAACACTTCAAGAAAATCAATCAGCAAAACTCTGGTATTCAGCTGCAGCCAACAACAACAAAGGTATTCGCTTATGGAGCAAAACAACCACTCCATCTCCTTGGGCAATTTACTGCAGACACCCAATACCATTCCAAAACAACAACCAGCATCTTTCTGGTAACGAAAGATAACAACACCTGTCTATTGAGTTACAACACTTCCACTGCTCTTGGACTACTCAATATCAACATCAACTCCATTTCCACCGACCATGCAGATCCTAGAATTGCACAGATCCTGCAAAAACATCACAAAGTGTTCCAAGGGATGGGAAACCTTAAGAATTGCGAAGTCAAGTTAGAAATCGACCCAACTGTTCCCCCGTCGCTCAGAACAGCCGACGACTGTCTCACAGCATGCGAAAGAAAGTGAATGAGAAACTCCACGAGATGGAAGAGCAAGGTATTATTGAAAAGGTGAAAGGAGTGACTCCATGGCTATCACCACTAATACCCATACCAAAGAAAGGCGGAGACCTTCGACTTGTTCTTGACATGAGAGTCCCTAATCAAGCCCTCAAACGACGCCGAGTGCAATTCCCCACCGTAGACGACATGTTACACAAAATGGAGGGTGCAATAATTTTCACAGAAGTAGATCTTTCTCAAGGCTACTTACAAATATCATTGGCTGAAGAATCACGCCCCGTGACTGCATTCCAAACACCAGACGATGGACCATACCAGTTCAAACGTCTCATCATGGGTGCTAGTCCGTCCGGAGAGTATTTCCACGAGATCATACACAACCTGATTAAACACATCCCGAACTGTCAAAATATATCGGACAGCATTTGGCTATGACATAAAGACATAACCGAACATATCAAGCAACTTGACGAGCTCCTTCAAACCATGGAAAGTAGTGGACTTTCCTTGAAATTCCCCAAGTGTTCATTTGCAGTTCCAGAAATTAACGTATTCGGTCATATAGTTTCGAGCCGAGGAATCCACCCTGACAAGAAGAAAATCGAATCAGTAGTCAATGCCCCAGCTCCCAAAACAACAGCAGAAGTACGCTCCTTCCTTGGTCTCGTCAACTATTGTTCGCGATGCATCAAAGATTACAGCACAACTACCTACCCCCTTCGACAGCTGTTAAAAGAGAGTTCCATTGGGGAAAGGAACAACAAAGCAGTTTCGTGAAATTAAAGGATGCCATCACCAGAGCCCCAATCCTAGCTCATTATTCCACTTCAGCACCAACTCGAGTAGTCGTGGACGCATCACCTTGGGCTGTTGGCGCAGTGCTCCTCCAACAACAATCCGATTGCACCTACCGCCCCATTGCATTTGGAAGTCGTTCTCTTACCGAAACCGAAATGAAGTATTCACAAATTGAGAAAGAGGAGTTAGCCATTGTATTTGGATGCGAACACTTCCATCTATACTTATATGGCAAGTCATTTGAAATGGAAACCGATCACCGCCCTCTTGAGTACATATTCAAGCCCAAATCAGCCGGAAAACCAGCGCCAGCACGAGTAGAAAGATGGTTACTTAGATTACAGGAATACTATTTCACCGTGATATACAGCCCAGGTCCACAAAACCTAGCTGATGCACTTTCTCGATTACCCAACAAGACCCCAAGAAGTAATATGAAAAGCTGTGCAGATCGATATGTCCACTACCTCGCAGAACAGTTAACGCCTATTGCCATGAACACTGAAGAGATTTAAGAACACTCGAAAACTGACCCCGAATTGATTCAAGTTCGACAATGCATCGAGAACAATCAACCCCATAAGCTTCCACCACCTAGCACACGAGGATCATGCGGGTATGACGAAAACGAAACAACGCATCCGCTCTAAGTTATGGTAGCCCAACATGGACAAGGACATCGAACAACACATTCGAACATGTCATCCTTGCCAAATCGTAGGAAAACCAGACAGACCAGAACCGGTACAATCTACCAAGCTTCCAGATGAACCATGGACAGAGCTTGAAATTGACGTATGCGGTCCATTCCCTACAGAAGAATATGTAGTTAGCCTCAACGACTATTACTCAAGATGGCCCGAAGCAACAATACTTCGAACAGTCACGTCAGCGAAAATCTTAGAATGGATACACACGGATATCCTAAACAAATCATTTCTTGCCAGTTATTTCACATCGCAAGAATTCAAGCAAACCCTAACTTCCTGGGGAATCCAACAGCATTTCGTCACACCATATTGGCCTCAAGCAAATGGTCAAATAGAGAGATTCAACCAAGTTATACTCAAGCACGTCCTTACCTCAAACACAACTGGAAGAGATTGGCGAAAATCCCTATCAATGATGCTGCGAAACTACCGTACAACGCCTCATCAATCCATCGGAGAAACCCCAGCGATGATGTTGATGCATCGGGAACTTCGTACCAAACTACCAAGTGTAAAATCAAGTAAATCGTATGACGATACGAGAGCTCAAAAAGTGGACGCCAAAGCAAAGCAACAAGCGAAAGAATACGCCGACGGAAAACGGCGAGCTCGGGAAAAAGATTTCAAAATTGGAGATAAGGTAATGCTACGTCAGCCGCATACGAAGAAATATTCAACACAATTTTGCAGCGTTCCCTTTACCATCATAAAGATTAACGGTTCGCAGTTAGAACTTCAAGATCAACACGGACAAAAGTACAAGCGTAACTCAGCACACGCAAAGAAATACCATGAGCCGGCTGAAGGAAAAGACGAAGAAGATGATACGGAACACCCCGCGAATGAACAGGTCCCACAACAAGTCCCTCAACCAGAAGAAGAAACCTGACCACAACCAGAACAAGTAACCCAACCACTCCCTCAATCTCAACAACCCCTATCCGTCCACTCACCACCCAGGAAAAGACCAGCAAGAAAAACAAAACCACCTGAACGATTTGGATATTAGTAATATAATATAAGACTTTAAAAACAGTTCCATAGTTAACTATTAACTGAACAATATTAAGTAGTTACATTGACATTTTGTTCTTAGAAGAAACATTCTAAACAGGGGAGGATTGTCGTATCGTAATTAACTATATTATTAATTAACTTAGCAGTAATACTCACTAATTTATCTCAGTAATGTATTATCATAACTTAACATAATTGCTGCCGCAGCGAGCGGGCAAGGCAGCAGATCCTAATTTTGTTTTGTGGGTCGATATCAAAATTTTCTATTTGGCGCATTGCATGACGGTACCAGTGAATTTTAACCGTGGTGCAGGGCGGTCAAGCATAAGGCAAACAGGCAATGTGATCATCTTTCATCTTTGGTCTTCTTTTATGGAAAGCCATAGCTGGCTTAAAGTGATCAAACGGCATTTTGTTGGGTGCTTTTAGCATTATACGGCGGTGCTTTCGGCATTATACACGGTGCTTTCGCCATTATACGCGGTGGTTCCCGCATTATACGCTGTGGTTCCAGCATTTATATACGAGGTGCTTTTGCAATTATACGCAGTGGTTCGAGCACTATATGCGGTGCTTTTAACATTATACGCGATGCTAGCTTTCATTCAACATTATTTTCATATTCTTTCCATGACATGTATATGATTTAACGATTGCTTAAATTTGGTATGTGGTTGACGAATGCTTTTTGCTTATGGTCCGCAAAGACAATGACATGCTTTTCTGTGTATATAAATGAATATAACGCAGCGAATGCGCCAAGCAGTATAAACGCGCGGCTGAAATACGATCTTAAAATCTTGAATGTGCCGTATGATTTAATTATGTTTTAAGATTTACAAATGCTTTGTCATTTGTATTTATACTTGTACTGCATCACAAAGCAGTACGTAAGTGAAAACATTTCACATGTGAGATTGTCTTGTATATATTTTTGCTTTCTTTGATAAACATTATTAATAAACACGCAAATTTTAATTAGTGAGACGCAATGTTAAATGTCACCTGCATGTCATTGTCATTGCCCTTTAACCCCTGGTCTAATTCACCGCTTTTGAAAATGTTGATCATGACGAACCGCACTGCCTTAATTACCGTATTTACTCGATTGAGCGCCGCCCCCGATTGAGCGCCGCCCCCGAATGAGCGCCGCATTTGAGATCAATTTTTTTTAAAGAGCGCCGTCTCCGAATGAGCGCCGCACTAAACAGTGTAAAAACTTTCCGCGTCAAAATTGGGACATTTAGTGACAAAAACCTTTTAAAACTTGTCTATGTTATAGCTAAAAGTTCTTGTCATAATTCACAAATAAAATATTTTTTAAAGAGCGCCGCCCCCGATTGAGCGCCGCCCCCGAATGAGCGCCGCATCTGAAGCTCTAAAAATTTAAAGAGCGCCGCGGCGCTTAAACGAGTAAATAGGGTATGCAAACTTTGTGTTTTAAAAACGAGTTAGGATAAAACGCGGATACGGACGAACGGATGAATGACGGACGGACAGACGGACGGATGGCGACGGACGGACCGGACGGATAACATATATATGTGATTATATAGTCTGCGCGCAGCCGCGCAGGGTAGTTAGTGGCTTACGTCTTCGCTGGTTGTTATACTTTAAAATAATTTTGTATTTACCGAGAAATCACTATTCCGAGTATATAAATATATAAACTGGGATGTCACACTGATAGTTTGTTTACATTTCCTGGAGCATCAAATCTTACTTAACCACGGTGGTTTAACCCATTAGCTGGCAATGCGCCCTTCCCTTGTCCAGCGCCAGAAAATTTTACTCGTCAGTGGTACAGGGCACTGCCAGTAAATGGGTTAACAAACCTATCTGCCAATGGCTCTTGTTAATCCATCAGCACAGTAATGACTTTAGTATTTACCCTGTCCAACGCCAGACGATTTTTAATACTCAGTCAGTGGTAGGGCCGGGCTGTCAATAAATGGGTTAACAAGGATAACAATAGCCTGCGTAGCGGCTATCAGAGAAAGGACAGCCTGCACGAAACCCCCTGCTTTGCCGTATTAACTCGTTCTCTCAGAGGACGAGAAATCTGATTGGTTCAAAATGAAAAAATATGCTAATTTATGCTAAATTCATACAAACACGGCGGATTAGCGGATGTATTATTGAGAGGCGTTTCTTTGAGTTTTGCATTCAAAAGAGCTTAATATTAAAGGCCACGATTTACAGTTGAACATTAAAGGTATTTACGAACTTGGTTCACGAAGCTCTAGAGATATTGACTGTGGTGTCTTCGTTGGATTGCTGTCTGTTAGCAGCGCCTCTTTCACAACTCACGAGCGTGTTCGTTTTCATATTAATAAAATTCATCGACGACAAATAGATTTTTTCTTCATGATTTTGTAGCTAATAATTTTGTGCCAGGAGAGAATTGCTATAAATGCTCATGTCTTATGAACAGGACTTGCTCTCTGTGAAGTGATGGCTTTAAACACCTTTAATATTCTCTTCTCAGCATCGCTAGAAACTTAACATTTAATACATCACGGTTGACCGCTGTCGAAACTATAAATTATATTTGTACGTGTGCGAGAAAGCTACGAAATATTGTAGATACGGACTGCAAACTACTTGTGACAACGATGGAGATTGCCCTAGGCCTAGCGCTATTCCCACAGACTTCAATTTTCTTTAGCCGCCATCCGTATATTACAGTATTTCGTTTTGAAATTTGCGAACATACAGCAATCTATATTTATATTTCATTTTGATAAGTAAATTTGCAAACGTAAACAATCTGTGTGATTGGCCAATTTTGACATCTGTTTAAAGTGGGCGTAGCCCGCAGGCTAAGTGGGCGGAAACGGGAAAGCATGGGTTTTCGTGCAGGCTCTACTTTCTCTGAGAGCCGCTACGCAGGCTAGGATAACAATAATAGGATGTTTCTGAAGGACTCGTTCAACACCTTGTAGTTTGTCTTTTGCTGTCAAAGGCAGCATTACTGCCCTGTGGGTAACCTAGTTTAATATTAAAGTACAGCGACTGGAGGGATATCTGCAGAAATGATAAACAACTTCGACATAGCTGTAGGAATTAAGTCATCCTTTCACAAGCACAAATCTTCAGAGAAAATGTTATTTTACCCACCTAGTTAACAGTAGTTTTTTAGGTTACCCACCTAGTTAACAGTAGTTTTCCCGTATATCTTGTAAACAAAGTAGAGTTGATATGTATTAAATATAAAGCAAGACACGAAAGATAGCGTTCCAGAATTAGTACCCTCTCCCCGGGCTTGCGACCGGAAGGCACTTGGCTGCAATTTATTGAGCGTCGACGTTCAATATATAATGAATAGGTACTTTCTCGAACTATATGTGCAACAACTGTCCACAGTCTCTCGCACCTCATGTGCTCTGACTAATGTGTGTATCGTTTTCATTATACCCTGAGAGTAGACTGCGTAGCAGGGGCTTTATTTTATTGAAGGTTTTGAGGAGCCACCCTGAGAGCAGAGCCTGATTTCCCCTCGCGGAGAAAATAAGGCTCGGCTGTATTTGTGTTTGATTTCTGTTGAGCATGCTCTGTTTCCGATATGTCAAAACATGTCAAAAGAATCACTTGTATTTTTAGAATGACTGCTAAATTTAGAGAACCAATTGCATGCAGTTTAATATAGCTACATGCGGGTGTGTGCACTGCACGTACTGTACAATTGCAGCAATAATAACAACACAAAAAACATTTTCAAATCTATTTTAAAATAGTGTGAAATCAAACTACTTACTATAGTTTTACAATTGCTAAATTGCTAGTTTATTTTACCTGAATTTTAGTTAATTACAATGCCTATGGATTTACTTTTCAGTAAATCTAAGAGATTCATAGGGCTTATTGTATATATATATATATATATATAATATATATATATATATATATATATATATATATATATATATATATATATATATATATATATATATATATATATATATATATATATATATATATATATATATATATATATATATATATATATATATATATATATATATTTTATATTTATATATATATATATATATATATATATATATATATATATATATATATATATATATATATATATATATATATATATATATATATATATATATATAGCAGGCTCAAATTTTAGTCATCAGTTTACATGCAAAACGAAGGCGCGCGCGGATTAAAAACCTGTTTACTGCCGGTTTACTTCGTCCAGAATTTTGGACGAACAAAAACACAAGAACGGCAGAGCCTTATTTTCTCCGGGAGGGGAAATCAGGCTCTGCTCTCAAGGTACGTTTTCATCTGGTAATTCATAACGATTAATTAATTCGTAACAAGACGTCTGCGGGAATAAAACTGAATAGTATGAATTGTTTAAATCTCCATTTATGTTAACTAATAATCTAAACAAGAACATTTATGGCATTGTATCTTCCTCAGTTTTTTAAATCTAAAATTAAATATAGAATATGAATGCCTTTAGATTAGTGGATGAGGGGTTAGCATTATATTAATTCTATGCGGGACGTGCAAGACTGAGAGCGTGCAATTAACAATAGTGGAAAGCATGCAGCTGTACAATTTAAGCATTTTCCAGCTTTGTTTGTACATCTGAAAGCCGGTATAAAGTAAATACGGAAGGTTTTTGTATACAATTGCATGACAATTGGCATGGGGTCTAACTGATTACATAATCTTAAAATAATTTTCAAGTTTCTGTCTGTGCATGCATGCAATTTTATAGTCGCGTCACTGAATCAATTAGCAACATTTTAAAAATATACTGGAAATATTTCCGAGGAGAACAGCTTGATGCATGTGGGTGTATTTATTAAAAATATATATAAAAGACTATTACTATATATACTGTAATGAATTTAAAGATGCCATATTAGCCACCTCCGCAGCCAGGCCTGTCAATAAGGGTTACTCTGTCAGAGTCAAATGTTGAAACCATTTTCTACGATGACATTAACTTTTCCGACAAACTCATCCATAATTATGAAACGTATTAGTAAGCCAATTCGGGGTTTCATGCATGGCGCATTCAAATTACGCGCGTTCTGTGTCAGGATAAATTGTAGTTGAACTACATGTAGCTGAGACTGGAAGAATTAGAATCCGCATATTTGTGTTTCACTTATAACCGCAATTTTTGTCGTCTGTGTAAAACAAAATAAAGAAAAGTACACTATTTTATATTTCCTATCATTTAAAACGAATCAATCATGCGGAAACGAATTGTTCTTTGTCCTTTGAGCAACTTTTTGCTGATATTCAAATGTAGACGACCGGCCAAAACCTGAAAATCTGCAACAAAATTTGTTTGATGGCATTTTCTGTTACGAGCTATACCAACTGACATTTTCGTAGAGTATATGCATTAACGAACAAGACTATAGACATGTTGGCAACTCTAATTTTGGTTTTATAGATGAAAATTTGAGAATTTGAAAATCATTGCCTATAAAAAGTACTATGATGAGAAAAATGCAAAATTACAAGTTCACTTTTAACGAAAATAAAATATACCATTAGAAAGTTCGCAAAAAAGCATATATAAGACATTTAAGCGAGTAGTATATGATTTTCGTAGCCAATTTTGAGCTTTTAACATTGGAAACTGAAGAAAATGCGCCAATTCATGCCGATAGTTACTATTTTGCCAACTTTATGCTCCTTTAACTCAAAACTGGCTTGACAATTCACACTACTCGCTTAAATGTCTTATATATACATTTTTGCGATCTTTGGTATAGATTATTTTTGTGAAAAGTGAACTTGAAATTTTGTATTTTTAGTCAACATACATAGTACTTTATTAAGCAAAATTTTAAAATTCTGAAATTTTCAACTATAAAGTCAAAATCAGAGGTGCCAACATATATAGTCTTGTTCACCAATGTGTAAGCTATATAAGAAAATGCCAGCCGTTAGCAGCTTGTAGGCAAAAAATGCCATCATAGAGTGTACCTTTCAGAATGTTGGCCGGTCGTCTAATGATGATTGAACGGCAGTTGAATACGTTGGTATTCATATTCTAAATCTTCCAGTCTCAGCCACAATATTACTGATGATTTGATCATATTCACTTAAGTCAATTAAACACACTAGCCGGCCATATAAACTAAGGACTTTCGCGAATGACGCGAATAAGAGAGAAACCAAAAAGAGTTTCGCGCTTGCAAGCATCTACCCAATGTGATTGGTTTATTGGAGAAAAAATGACCAGTCTAATTCAGTCTATATTGTGCATTGTCCCTTTTTGTCCATGCATATAGGTACGGGGCGATCCCTAGAAAATGTATAATATGGAAGACTGAAAGATGCATACAATAAGTGAGTAGACGTCTTATATAAATATGCATGGCTTATAACAACATATCGATTCACTATTCTTAACTTGTTCAGCTGAAATTCGTTTCAATAAAGCGTTTGTATTGTAATCCAAACGTCAAGTTTGGATTACAATGTATTAAAAAATATATAATACCATACATATTCTTCGAGAAATTGGATCATAAAAAATGTACTCCAAGTTATGCTTAGATCTGTCGACAATTAATAGCCTCGACAAGCTGACCAATAAAACTGCCAAGCACTCTTTGTTTTGCAAAATTTCGTGCTCAGAGTACTTGATTCAGTATGTCAGCTACATGTAGTGGTTGTTTGTATTATAGCGATTTCGAATGCCTTCCCTTATGAGTGGGGCATTCTCCTCCCCAGCTGCAGGCATCTCAATAGGGGTTACCTAGTGTCTCAGATCCCTCCGCCCCGGGACATCCCCAGATATTTGTTTGACAGAACGATCATCGAGAGGGTGGGGAATTTCCCGTCCAGGAAGAGCACCAGAGCCATGAGGTATTGTTCTAGTTACATTGCCCGGTTTGCTCCCTCCCGGGATTTAACATCCTTTGAGTGCGCAATGAAATATGGGATCTAATTCTACTTCTTGATCTCCTCGGATCTCCTTGGACATTAACATGTGGGCATCAGTGGTTGTTAATTTGCATAAATAGATTGCACATTTTTAATTAAAAGTGTGCACATATCACATTTTTATATCCTGATTACTGAAATAAAACGAATCTGCCAAAAATAGTTCATTAAGATGACAATCACCGTTTACCGTTATAACATAGTTATTTATAGACTCGAGCTCTCTCTTCTGCAGGGACTTTTTGGTTATATGTTTATAGATTAAAATGGTTCGAGTGTTTATCACATGTGATAAAGCGCTGGAGCGTAACGCATATACGCTTTATTACGCTCTTGTGCCCCGCAAACCGTAGTCCATTTGCAGAATTACTGCATGGAGTGTAGCACTATATACACGCTAGTCTCGACTTCATTCTTTGATTTATTAAAAAAAGTATTTATGTTATAACCGAATTCATATTAGAGACGAGAAACTCGTCTTTGATGGAAACCTCGTCTATAAAAACCCGTCTGAATATAAATTTGGGGGATGGAAATCCGTCTGAAATTTTGTGTAGGTTTTATATATATATAATTTTATATGTTTGTCTCGATAATTTTAGTTCCAGTTTTCCCTTGCTTGGCAACACTTTGTCCGCTAGACGGGATTTCCGTCTAGTGTTTGGACAGGTGCTTATTAGCCTAATATTTTTTTTCTTCTCAAAATGTTATTTTTTATACCAATTAAAGAGTATTTCATAATGATTCGTTGCAGAACTCTGTCCAGAGCTATACATACTTACTCCGCATCGAAGCGTAGATTAATAATAGCTAACTAAAGATACGTAATTGCTAGGAGGACTGAATGCTGCAGATTGGTATAGGGATACAACCCAAAAATACAAGGAGAACTTCCTTGAAGGCCCTTCTTCGGGAAGTTTGTATTTTTCAGGTATAGTTATATCCGTACCAATCCGAAGCTTTCTTATTATCATCACTAGTCACTACCTACACTGACACAGACAGTTTAAGAGAAATGAATCACTGGTTTTGTGCCAAAGAAAATGAAATAAACTATAATAAATTAGTCGTAATTATTTACATCACATGCATGCATGAATTAAATTAAAGTTGTGGAGGTTTCTTTGCCGGTGCTGCTTCATGTATCTGCATCGGTTTAATTGCTTCCTGCTGTAGGCTTGGAACCTGGTCACTTTGATCTAGATATGGGGGAATGGAGGAGAGGGGGGTGGTGAACTGAATCGCGAAGGAGTTATCCTTAGTTATAACAAACCTTTCCGTCAAGTATTATAATGAGATAGTATTGCTGCAGTAAATATTAAGTCTCATATACTGAGTTGAACAATCATGATAACTGAACTTTAGAGTCATTATTTAGTTTATCTAAAATAGCAGGTCATTTTGCGGTTCAAACTTAATCTGCAATTTCCATGCATATATATAGATTACTACCAGCTGTGAGCTGTCATCGATTGTGTGCTTGCATGTGAAATTACGAGAAAAGAGTTTAGATAACTGATAAGATTGCATGTTTTCTATCTGTGTGTGTTAACTGTTTTCCTGCCAGTGGGCGGAAAATTAACTTTGTAGGCTAATGTATTCACTAAAATCATCACGTGGTTGATTTTATCAGATGATTCATGCCTTTTTCAATTTCACAAGTAATTTACGAAAAATTCTAGTTTCATCGACAACCGAGAAAAGGTTTGCAGGTAGCTATAAGGTAAATTTTATGATTTGTAATTAAACAACTCAGTATTACTCTCCTCATGTGTTCGAATGTGAATGATGTAATGCATTTAAAGTATATAAATTATTTGGGACATTGTTCGGAACAATTCATGGTTTGTTTTGTTTATTGACGGGATGTTTATCTCGAAGAAAACCGAATACTTGTTTGTTTTCATGTTTCCACAAACCAAAACTTGACTAGACAGTAAATAAATATACGTGCATGATCTTAAATAAATATACACTGAAAACATGCCAAAATAGTACGTATATTATATATATTATTACCTGACCATGTAATCATGTATTGACTATTATTGTGTATAATACGTGGTGTTAAGTAGTAAAAATACAACAAATAAACGTCTCCAAACCAAAATTTATAAAACTACAATGATCTTAAAACTGAGTTTGTTCTATAGCTGCACGCTGCGGGAGCATTTATAGAAACTGGCTTTGCCGTTGCAATTCTATTTTTGTATTTTAACGGCGGGAAATATGGGCATGGAAATTGGAATGACAAGTTTCTTCTTTGGATAAGATATTAGCTAACATATATATACTATGATAATTATTAACATATAAATACTATCATGCATGAGTTTGTTCAGTATTTAAATGGATGCTCAACTTTAAATTGTGCTAAATAAATGATTATTTCTCAATCGACTATTTATGTCAAATTAATTTATTGCTATACTAGCTGGAGTAGATAACATCGAGTTGGATTCGAGTTCGAGTTGGGCTTCGAGTTGGACTTCGAGTTGGATATTTTTCTTTACTTTTCGGGAAAATGACAATTGTATTTCACCCAACCTTTTTTGCTGCGGAGCGAGCGAGCCTGAAGCAAATTTACACATATGGGAGAATTTTATCTTAAACCATTGTTTACCTACATTGTGATCGTGCACGATCGGAAATACTCAGTAACTCCTTTTTGTCGGTTGTGCTTACACAACACCTTGTGGTAATTTTGAGTTACAGATTACAGTTACAGATATTGCACAGCACACTCCCTATATCAGAGTTTTTCAGTGACTGGTTATATTAGGCCCGGAACTGGCGTGAAGCAGACCGAGGTAGACTGTGAGCGTAATTAAAGATGGCGCTTTAAGCAGCCGCTATTAGTCCATACCTCTTTAATGATCTGCCCCCTGACCTGACATGGTTTCCGCACAATTTTTAAATGTTATAATAAATCTTTTTACAGAGATACCTTTTTCATATGCACTTCATTGTTTGTATTCTTAATTCGAAACAAAAGCACTCGTACCTTAATTTATTACTGATAATAGACAGTGCCGGGCACCAAAAAATACACAATGAGATATTTTCCATAACTAGATCTTCACTAGTGAAGATATCGATTAAGTGTTCATTTTCTTTGTTATTTTTACTAACGACTATATAATAAAAAGAACGTTAAATACATGCTGGCTTGAAGTTTCATATCTTATTATTATTTTATCTTCTCGTGGTGAAAACTGAAAACAATACTGTTTTACTCACTCAAACGTAAAATTTATATCTTCGCACCGCCGTTAGTCTGCGATAGCAGACTGACTCAGCCGCCGCCCCCGGTCCCCTCTCCCCGGCCCCCTCTCCCCGGCCCCCCTCTCCCACTGTAGCTGCGGAGAAACAGCAGACTAATCTCAGAGGCAGTGCCATTCTCGTACCCAGAGCCCTTCTTACGCGCGGTCAACGGAGCGCGACGAGGGGCTCTGGCCAAATCCATATCAAACTGGCATCTGATTGGCTACAACGAAGGTTATTGTTCTAATACAGGATATATTCTATTACCATGTTTTTATGGTATCCGGTTATGGATTTGGCCAGAGCCCTCGTCGCATCGCGCGTACGAAGGGCTCTGGGTACGAGAATGAGGCAGTGCTGATCAGTCTGCTATCGTTTCTTTGTAAAAAAATAGCGATGCGCATATGACGAATTCACATGAAGTATTGCAGTGCTACACGGCCGTCTAAACATTCTAGCTCTATGTAGTACTCTCCTTGACCTTTCAAGACTAATAATGCAACATATCCTCACACGTAGTATTAGGGAGGCTGGACGCGCAGGGGCGGGAATATTAAAAAGGTAGTCATTTTTAGATTGGGATTAGATTAGAGCCAGATTAAGATTAAACCAGGGTTAGGGTTAGAGGTTAGAGTGGGGGTTGGGTGGGGGTTAGGGTTCAACTTAATATAAGGCATATCCTTAAGTTAATCTTTAGCAAATTTGACAATTAAGGATAATCCCTAATACTACGTGTGAGGATATGCAGAACAGTACTGATAGTTTCGAATACATATTTTGCACGAAACAATACTTAAACTGTACAAATTTTAATATATTCTTTTCCAAAATACACATAGTAATTATACTGTATAAGATGTACAACATAGTGCATTATAAAAACGATTTATAATAAAGTAAATTTACATTGCTACGTTTCATTCTCCATGCTTTTATAAACGTAATAACACGTGTTTGAAGTTGCGAAGAAGTAAACATGAATCGGAGTTGTTCGGAAATTAGCAGAACATTCGGAAACGCCAGTGTATAAGTAACTCGAAGTTTAACTCGAACTCGAACTCGAATCCAACTCGATGTTTCGGGATTCCCTATACTAGCTTGGCAGATTGTTCCTTCGCTGTTGATACAATTCAATAACATGTTTGTAAAAAAGAATTAAAAATCATGTCTGAAGAGTGAAAAAATTTAACCTGTATGACAGATTGATAATATATTTTTGGCCAATAATAGAAATTCAAATGCATGCAGCAATGGAAATTTTTTTCGAACAAGACTTTTTTTATATAAATGTAACTGCCATATAATTTCGTTGAATAACATGCAGCTAAGCTTAAATAGCTATAAAGCAAATGTCTAAAAGTAAACGGGTAAAAGTTTGTAGACAAGCTGTCCTTTAATTTTACGTTTCTTTTATGGTTATACTTTATGCACGATATGCAGGATTCCACATCAGGATTATCAGCCCACGCGTATGGACTAATTATGCAGGTTTCACTATAATATATAAAACTACAAGGAATAATATATATATATATAAAACCAGGGAAGCATGTGGGGCGATACATATAATATCAAACTTTAGTCAGTTTACTTACACCAACCATGTAGCGGTCATGAAAAAACCGCATGTCATTTAAAATATAAATCCACTCAATAAAGAAACGATTAACCACTTTGCTGCATGTGCAGCACTGACAGCTGTTACCGAAGAATGGAAAGTTAAAAGAACTAACAGACGGTGAATGCTATGATTGTGGGACTTGTTCGTTTCATAAACTACACGCATGCGTACATGAGGTAAAAGACGAAAAGTTCGATCATTACAAAAATATTTTATACAGCGTTTATTTAGTATAAACTGTGCTGCTTAAAATTTAATTTGCATACGTTATTCGCTGGCTACAAAGTTCCCTTGGTTTCACGCGGTGTAAACCTGTAGTTTCTTTGCATTTCACTGACGACCAAACTATCGTGTTTTTAACGCATATTTTCTTGCAGTTAGAGCGGGCATCGAAATACTTTGTATATATGCATGTGCTGGAAAATTAATATTGTTGCATCGACGAAATTTATAATTCCACCGCAAATAATGTCGCGCGTGAATAGCAAACGGTTATTACTCATGTATAACGGCTATTATTATTTAACAAATATAAAACATTTTCTGTGTTGATATAGATATCAACACGAGTGGAATTGGGAAAACGAGACATTATATGGAAACACGACGCCCGAAGGGCGGAGTGTTTTCATACAATTTCGAGTTTTCCCAACTTCCACGAGTTAACAGAGAAGATTAGTAAGAAATAGAATACAGTACCTATACCAGATGACTATGACATTGGAGAATACTGAGAAGACAATAACTGAAAATATTCTGTAAAATTAAAATGTATAAGGTCAAGCATCAGAGGTGCCTTAAACAATTGCACCGCCAATACCAGGAGGATATTACTAAGAGCTATTCATCATGGCCATGGTTACAATAAGAAAATCACATTGAACATTGTTATATTATTCAGAGATTATTTGATTACATGATTCCATTTTTTTAGAGAATAATTAATAGTTATAAGTGAGATGAATCGTGGACAACTGATTTTTCTTAAAACACTTTTGCATTAGAATCATCAATGCTGTAACAATTAAACCGGCATTGTGATAATTATATAAATATGGCCAAGGTGAAATGCTGTAAACTGCCACAAAAATTATAAAGAAAGCTGAGGAAGACATTTTAGCATGTGCGATGTTAGTCTGACGAAAATAATACAGCTTGATTACTGAGGTGTGTGTAGCCGTCATACATATTTAATGCAGATCGACAAAATGCTGATCGAGGTCCTATAATCGAAATCATTGTTTACATACCTGATACCTAGACTGTCTGTTCCCACAAACTATAAGATAACCATAAGTATATGGCAGGATTTCCGTTTCGGTTATACAGATTATATTGCCATTGATTTTCAATAATTCCAAACATTGCCATTGATTGTAAATCGCCATGCAGGGCGCTATATATACTGCTTGGATTAAATTTAGCACTTTGCTTCGGAAACAAGTGAGAGTATTCGTTGCCTCATTGATGGTGAAATTTGGCGATTGGGTCACACTTCTAAAGACCTAAACACGGGTGTTTCGAAAACGAAGACCTACGGAAACGAAGACCGAAGACCTAAGATGGGTCTTCGGTCTTCGTAATTACGAAATCAAAGACCTGTCTTTGTTTTCGTACTACGAAAACGAAGACCCTAAAATATTCATTTACATCTCAGGCATGTTAATGCCTGGGTCTGCCCACGCTTGGATGATATCTTGCGCGCGTGTTGCACGCGCGATCTGTCAGTAATGCGTCTGTTAGAATATTCGCCCCTTGTGTGAGTATTTTAGTGAATTCGGGCGTTTGCTTCAAATCAAAATATAGTATATATGAGCGACAGGATTATTTTGGAATATACAATGCAAAGAAGTCGGTATACTATTCAGTTTTGATGTAATAATTGGCTTTTTGTATAGCAATAAGTATTGTATCATTTGCGACAGCTGACCTTTGAACTGCTGATAAATAAAAGCTTCTTATAGTGCGCTATCTTGCGATTATTCAGTATTAATTGTTGACTGTTTCTTATTTTCAATGAAAAATTGCTTGTGAATTACAAATTAATAGCACATATAGTTCACTCGGTCTTTTCCACCATGGCATACTTCCCTTCAAGCATTAACTATGCTTCCGATATCGGCTTGAATGCGCAATGAATGTTGTTATTGGAAATATAATATCCCTTACAATAAGCGGCAGACTGTTTCATTATGGCGCGTGAAATTCATCACGCGAAAAACGCGTTCGACTTGCAGCAGGGTAATTTGACGAAATTTTGCTATTTTTGCTAGCTAAAAACATTAACAAGGGAACAAAGTTTCCTGCGTTAATTTGGAAACCGTACATTTATTTGTAGCTAACTTTTAATGACGCGATTAACATTCGTTTGATGCCGATCATCGTAATATAGCCGCATAAAATAATGAAACGAAGCCTAAACGTAAACTTTCCGAATTTATTCAATAAACAGTGATATTATGGGTGAATGATTATCGCAATTCTGCGTCATCTCAGTCACGAAATATACTGCTGCAGAGCCTCTGATTAAAAAGTATCATTTTTTCTGTTGTTTTTCGAAATATACATCACGTGATCGTTGCCATGACAACGAAAAGTAGGTCAACTTTTAGAATCTCCTTTGATAAATCATATAAATCTTGAATGATAATAATCAAGGCCATACTTATTTTTTTATGATTTTTTGTTTATTTTCGCTAAATACACAAACTGAGACCCAGGCATTAATGTACCTGAGATTGTTTTCGCGAAAATAAGCCTAAAAGTGTCGTGAAATTAATTACAAGGCAAATTATTTATTTTATTAATATTACTATATAACTTAATGTTTATATTTGGTAGTTACGTTACCTCCCGATCAGTTTTATCACAGAGTACTTACATTCAGTTCTGAGGGAAAACCGTAATAACTGAAAAAAGGCAGTTTTTACCAAAATAGCTGGTGGCCATGTTCTCAGCAAGTGACCTAAAGTTAAGAGAGGCCCTGGAAGATTAAATTTCAATATGTTTTCAGGGGGATGACTGCCTCTCCTTAAGGCACTTCCTAAGAACATAGCGTATACTGAAAAAATCCCTTACGCTAAATTAACCTGAATCATGCACTGAGACATCTGTGTGTACGTATACTTTGTGGTTCTATTGGTATTACTGATTCAAACTGATCAGGGTTTATTTTAACGTGCACACAAAATGTGCAGTTCTAAACCCATTTGTGCAGTTCTTAAAACACAAATGTGCAGTCACCAAACTAAAAAAAATAGCCTTAATTAAAACAGTCTTCTCATTTACTCGTTACCCTTGTGGATGCTCCAGAAAATTCCAGAAATACTGTCATTAATTGAGCATCAAAAATATAAACGATTTCTGGGGAAGACTCCAGACCATCCTATTTTCCTCACAACTGACACTTATGTGCTGGGGTAATGGAAAAGAAGGTAAAATTGGGGCGAGCGAAGCTCCCCAAAAGAGATTAGAGTGGGAAAACCTAATATTCTTTGCTGCCTCAAATGCAAATTTAAGGTTGTGATTCCCGATGATTCCCAGTTACATGTTTTGAAACAGTTTTTGTGAGTGGTTGGATAAAACAAATCTTTGCCAGAACTTAACAGCCTCTAGATTCAAATTGTTTTGGGGAACACCCCTAGCTCCCGCACCCAAAAATCGAGTTTGTCTGGCCTTTCTCTAATTCTACCACCCAACCACACCATTATTCTGTCACCTATGTGCAGGTAAAAAATCCGTTGCCTTCGAAACATCCCTATGTGTGCAGTTCTAAATCAAACACCCGTTGCCTTCGTAACATCCCTATGTGTGCAGTTCTAAATTTTTCTTAAAACAAACCCTGAAACTGATTTGCCCGGACATTGGAGACATTGACTAGACTGCGAGCGGTCCCTCCTTTCCGCGTGTTTAGATTTCCGGGCACGAGAAAGGAAAGGAGGGACTGCAGACAACACAGTCAAGAAATGAAATCGCGTTGCCCACACAACGCAAAATTCCCATTGGCGAAATCGATACGCCTGTCAATCAAATCTGATATGTAGTAATTATGCTATAAATAATTTCCAGAGTGAATGTTGATTTTATACAGGGTGTGTCAAAATAAAAGTAATCGAACGTCAGCGCGCTATTGTGTCTGAATTACTGCGTATGAACGAGATTTTTTCATCTTCGGAAAGATCAGGCTTTTAGCTGTTGAATGATATGTTCTTCATGCCAGATGGATAAAAAATAAGCAAGTACGAGTCTGATAAAAAATGCTAGTCAGATAGCATATTTTCACCGTTGTAATATGCGATTCTGACTAACATTTTTTATCGGACTCGTACTTGCTTATTTTTTCTCCACTTGGCATGAAAAACATGTCATTCAACAGCTAAAAGCCTGATCTTTTCGAATATGAAAGAAAATGTTCATACGCCGAGTAATTCAGGTACAATAGCGCGCTGAAGTTCGATTACCTTTTTTTATACACCCTGTAAATAAACATGACATTAACGGTTTCCTATTGGATAGATTTAATTGGATATAGTAATGTTTATGCAAAGGCGGAGCCAATTTGACAAGAGCGAAAAGTGGGCGTATTTCGCTCCCTGATCTCAAATTTCACGCCCGCAAATTATTCCCGCCCGCATCGAAAGGCCTGCGGAGGAGGTAGGCTTCTTGCTGTGTTGTCTGCGGTCCATCATTAGCGAGCTTAAGCATGTAAGACCTGCCTCCTCCGCAGGCCCTTACTATTTGTAGATCAGTGTATATATAGACATATCAGTTTAATATATAGATCAGTGGCTGAACAAATCTGTTGTGACCCAGAGGTTGTGACCCGCGCGCCCCCATTAATTTTCGTCTTTTACTAATTAATTATCATTTGGGCCTGGGGACGAGGATGATTAATTATTTGATAGCAGGCGACTGGGGACGAGGCAGATGTAAGACGGCAATGCGACGACGACGGCCAAAGCAAATCCCTTCAAATAAATGATAGTAAAGAACACTTGTCGTATATTATAATTTGTATGAATTTAATACAATATAGGAAGCTGAAAACATTGGCTTTATGTTTGAGAAGAGTTCTACTGACCGAATTTTAAGTTGCACTTGTTACGGCTTGAAATGTAGACGTTGTATAAAAGACGTGAAAATCTGTGATTTGCCGTTGTAAACAGAACGATGACCACGTCTGAAACTCCCCTGGGACTTTGATTATTTATTTCTTTTTATTGACTCATTGTATTGGTTGCCGTCGTCGTCGTATTGCCGTCCTATATGCTTAAGCTCCCTAATTCTTCGAGGGACCACTCGCGGTCTAGACATTGACAATAGTACAGCAAATGCATATATACATGTGGAATATTGCTAAAGTTTTGTTAACATTGTACATTTTGCAATTGTAATTCTGACATTCTGTTGTTAACATTTTACATTTTAAAGTTATTTAGCTATTTCTTACTAGTCTGATGTTTGCCTTTGACTATATTAAAAATACATGAGTGCTTTACTGGTTTAGGTTTCTAGTGATTCTATTTTTATTGCTGAATCGTATTTTCCTAGATCATATACTATAACATGTTAATTTGCGCAATATAAATATTAAATTAATATTATTATTATTATTCCTTAATTTTTTCCAACAATTTATCGAAAATTTTTCGCAACACTTTTACGCTTATTTTCATGAAAATAACGTATAAATGAATATTTTATGGTCTTCAAGACTTCGTTTTCGTAGTACGAAAACAAAGATGGATCTTCGTTTTCGTAGTACGAATCAAATACCTTTCAAAACCACAAGTACAGAAACATCAAATACCACCTCTGGAATGTTGTTGCCATGGTTTTACCACTGGTCTCTATATAATATGTGCACAGGTGTAAATATCGACAGGGAGGTTGTGTTGCCCACTATGAACAAGTTGTAAACAATGTTGTTGCACGTTTTGTTGACAACTTGTTCATGCCTGTCAATATCAACCAGGAACAAGTTGTTGATTTTCTCAATGTTTATGTGTGTACCGCTGTGCTTTTTATTACAGATTCAGAAACCATCACATTTTAAAGATTATCTAGCCTGCGTAGCAGGCGTTTAGCTGACGGGCGGGTACACAGGAAACGTCTGCCCAAATGGCTATGACAAATTTGTTTTCGCCCATTAAGGATGATTGACGTTTTGTAATTAGCACCTTCACCCATTATCCAATCATAGTCGAGATTTATATTTAGCATCATGCATGCTTTTTGCTCGGCAACTACGGAGATTTGCAGAGATTTTATGCACTATTTAAAACACGAGCAGCAGTGTTTTATCAGATATAAAGATGGTCTGATAAAACACGCACTGCAAATGTTTTAAATTGCTTCAAAAACGATCGATCTAGTATACGTTCATTGGCGAAGTAGCTTTCAAAAAATTCGGTGTGTATATGTAGAGAAAATCATTAAAATTTATGTAAATCAAGGGAAATCTCTCACATATATATATATCAAGGATACGACACGTTTATGATTTTTTCTTTGTGTTTTCCTCATGAATTATTGAGTTTTTGAAGCTATTTTAGACAACAGTCAGTCACAACGTGCACAGAGTTTTTATCTTTTAAAAGACTCCTGAACTACGGTTGTTTAACGTATTCTGCCGTATAGCAAATATAACAGTTGAGCATGTTTTGAAATGTTATTCTTAAAATCATCATCCAACCTCATAGCTGCAATGCCAAGTGATATAGCCTCAACTATCTGGTCTTGAATTATACTTTAAAGTGAACAAATAACAAGACAACTATATTAAAGAAATATTCAGGATATATTTAAAATGTATAATTGAAAGATCAAACTTTTCCGTACTCCTTAGGAAGAATTCGAATCGCGATATCGAAGAACCGGCGTCTTCACCACGTAGCAAATTAATAATAATACTTTCTCTGTTCTGGTTCAACTGAATTTCGAAGCCTAAATACTTGAAATATAAGAAAGTTTCCTCGAAAGCATTAACATGCGGCATATTTTTGATACGCGACTATAAACGCGTCAACGCGAGCAAAATTATTGTTGACATTTGAGTTACGTAATTACTTCCGTTAACAAGATTAACCAATGGGAAGCTTTTCCGAAGATTCTTCGGAGAAGAACAAATTAATCATAGACATTTGGGCAGGCGTTTATTTAACGACGCCCTTTCTTCTCCCGCCCGCACTAAACGCCTGCTACGCAGGCTAAAGATTATCTTGAGTCCATGACTTTATTTTTTTATATTCTTTTATATTCAATATATCATATAGGATGTAGTATAAATCTATTACGGCAAATTATATATTAGAATCATGTACTGCATTTAACGACACATCTCTTTCGAATTTTATGCTTTCAGAATCAGTTAAGTTTCTATACTCTAGTATAATGCTATTTGATGAAGCCATATTTTAGTATTTATTCAATTTATTTTGAGGAAGGTTTGAAAACTTTAAATTTTACCCGGAGGAAATTTAAACAGGTTTTGCAGCTCTGAGGGGTTGTTGCATACATGTATTTCTAGTTTAACTATATTAGGGTTTCAAGAAAACTTAGAGTCAGAGAAGGTTGTATATTATTGGAATATAAACGTTTCCAAACGGTTTCCTGGGTAACAAGTCCATAATTTAATGTTGAAATATAAACAATTTAAAATGTGTTGTTTTGCCTTTTAACACAGCAACCTTTCATGTTGAATTTCAAATCTGAACATGAGAATTGGACGGGAGTCAAGTCCAAGCGGCTTGTAATTCCAGAACCCGCGTCTGCCGCTATAAGTGCAAGAAAACCCCCTGCAGTGTGAATTTGAGGTTTGAAACCGTTAACCACAAATGGCCAACTTAAAATCGCATTTGAATGTAAGGTCTACAGTTTTGATAGCTATAGAATTAAGTAGTTAATTCATGCTCCAATCTTAGTGCATAAGTTGCCCTAACTTCGAACAGCTAACAGTTGACTTCAAGTTACGATTTCAAGTTTGCCGTTTTAGTCGAGGACCTGCATGTATATGAGTTTGTATGCATTTCATTTAGGACAGATAATCTCAACTGTTTTAGGGTAAGTTGACCATGACGGTCAACATGGTAACGCTGCCCGAACCCCAATTCGGGACGAAACGTCCGAAACTGACCACACCCAAAAACGACGCTTTCGCCATAGTGCTATCTACCAAACCATACAAGCTTTGGCTATGATGAAGTGCTTATATGGTTCAGAGATGGTGCTTTTAGGGGTGGTCATTGGTAAGTGTGAAATGCCTAGCAATGATATTTCACAAGAAAATGACCATGAAATACTCATAGTCAAACGTCAATTTGTGGCTTACAACTTCAGATAAACAGCAGTGGACCTATATTACCTTTTTTCCTAAGTATTTTTGATAGAAACATAATTGGTGCTTATTTAATTATATTATCACTGTTTTGGTGTAAAATGGTTAATATTTTGTGACCGAAATAATAATTTCAAATGTACCTACCTCCTGCAATGGACGTATTTGACCAAATTGTCCACTTTACTCCGCTGTTTATCGCAGATCTCGCTGAAATCCTTCCAAATATGCAATTCAGCTCAAACATAACGGTATCAAGCACATTTTAAACAAGTTTTAACTGGGTTTCAAGTAGATCCTACCTGTTTAACCATCGACAAGGTAAAACCTCAACTTTGTCCAAATTCGGCGCCATTCTGTCATCCCGTTCGGTTGTGCACATTTCGGCCCCGTTCTTCTTCCATCGAAGAAGGACAAGAAGTGATAATGACAAATTTAACCCTTTGTTAAGGGTATTAAAATAAAAATACAATAAAAAATGCGAAATGCAGCATTTTATCACCATGAAAGATGTTGCTTACGAGTCTTTCAAAACATTCCGTACAAATCTCGCGTGGGAAAGTAACAGGGACGTGACAGGGGGGTGGAGACTTAAAAAATAAAAGCAAAGGCACGCAGAACGCAGTATAATGATAAAACCAACAATCAACATTTAATTTGTATTTTCATATTACAGGTAATAGTATGTATTTATTTCTCGCTACAAGAAATAAAACAAACGTTTGTATCATTGTATTTAGTTTTTGTTTATTTCACGCAGCCTTCGTGAAAGAATTCAACCCCCTGTCAGGTTCAACCCCCTGTCAGATTTTTATTTCAATAGACTTAACAAAGGGTTAAATTTGTCATTATCACTTCTTATCCTTCCTCGATGGAAGAAGAACGAGGCCGAAATGTGCACAACCGAACGGGATGACAAAATGGCGCCGAATTTGGACAAAGTTGAGGTTTTACCTTGTCGATGGTTAAACAGGTAGGATCTACTTGAAACCCAGTTAAAACTTGTTTAACTTAACATATTTGGAAAGATTTCAACGAGATCTGCGATAAACAGCGGAGTAAAGTGGAGAATTTGGCCAAATACGTCCATTTGCAGGCGGTAGGTACATTTCAAATTATTATTTCGATCACAAAATATTAACCATTTTACACCAAAACAGTGCTAATATAATTAAATAAGCACCAGTTATGTTTCTATAAAAAAGATTTAGGAAAAAAGGTAATATAGGTCCACTGCTGTTTATCTGAAATTGTATGCCACAAATTGACGTTTGACTATGAGTATTGCATGGTCATTTTCTTGTGAAATTTCACACTTACCAATGACCACCCCTAAAAGCACCATCTCTGAACCATATAAGTACTTCATAATAGCCAAAGCTTGTATGGTTTGGTAGATAGCACTATGGCGAAAACGTCGTTTTTGGGTGTGGTCGGTTTCGGGCATTTCGTCCCGGATTGGGGTTCGGGCAGCGTTACCATGTTGACCGTCATGGTCAACTTACCCTAAAACAGTTGAGATTATCTGTCCTAAATGAAATGCATACAAACTCATATACATGCAGGTCCTAGACTATTTGAGGTTAGCGGTTTGCTTGCCGTAAACGTCAATCTTAAAGTCCCTAATGACATCTCATACTCATAAGTCATAATTTACTGAACTGAGGGGCCCTACTAGATATTTTGAGTCTGATCAATATATAATGGACGACTAAATTGCGCTTTAGAAAAATTTTTAACCTGGGAATAACAAAGAATATTTTCGAAAAGAAGTTATCAAAATTAGAAAAACTGCAAAGTTTGGTTGCGAAATGTTGTAAAATACGGAAAATATAGCCCTGCGAAGTTGGCAAATTTGTATACATTTCTATTACGTGCGGAAATTGGTAACTCGAGTAATTTAGTTACCAATTCACGCACGTAATACAAAAGTATACAAATTTGCCAACTTTGAAGGGCTATATTTTCCGTACTGTTTTACAACATTTCGCAACCAAACTTTGTAATATTACTAATTCCAAGACGCTCTTTCTAGCTGTGGTGATAGATTTCGTTGTTCTTACTTAGGCCCGGTTTAGACGGCGAACTTTTCATGCGCCGAATCTAATGCAAGAATTAAGTGCGACGCTGGAGCGGCGTCTAAATCAATTAAGTTCGGCAGGTTTTGATTAAGTTCGACACGACTCGAAGATGCGACAGGACAAGTCGTATATGCGACACAGGTTCGACATTGATTTAGACGCCGTGCTTTTCATGCGCCGAACCTAATGCATAATTATTTTTTAACACCATAATATGATTATCATATATTTGCATTGTAAATATTTCCAATATAATGTCTTCGCAATTTGGTACGGTGCAATTAAGTTCGACGTCTAAATCAGTTTCCGATATTTTGCCGTATCTACGGCAATTAGATTCGGCGTCCATTCACCAGTTATATATCTATGTATAGTATCATCATGCATGAGCAGGATAAAGCAATATGTATTGTTGGCTAATTTTCTCATGGATTATTAATGAGCTTGAGCTGATACATACTTAACAGCCATCAGTATCTGTAAATTGAAGAAAAGACTACAGTTATTACAGTAAATCTAATTCATCACAAGAAAACGTAATAATCTAATTCAGTAAGTATACCGCTATTGCATGTTGAGTATTGTTTATCAAATGATGCTCTTATACTTTCTAGACTGCATGAGATGGGCATGTGATTTATACTTGCTTAAAACATGTTCATATATACTGCAGCATATATATGACTATATATATATATATATATATATATATATATATATATATATATATATATATATAACCTGGTTTACTTCATAAGATTTATTCACTACAAGCTTGAGCTACAACAACACAACGAAACGCTGCAGTCTTTGTACACATGAAAAATTCATTATAATCTACCACCCTGAACTTTGTTCTTTAAATTCAAGAAGTGAACTTTTATCGAAATGCAGACATAGTCTAGTAATCTAGGCTATACGTAATTTAATACTTGAACATTCCGTTTACGTCAAACATGTACAGTAGTATATATAACCTTGGCAACAACATAGCGCGACATTTAAATTCACCTGATGAGTGTGGCAAGCATTGCTTGTCATACGAAACAAGTTTGTAGTGAATAAACATTACATTACCTTTAACTTTGGAAAATAAAGTATTTATTGATTTCTCGAATATATATACTATATATATATATATATATATATATATATATATATATATATATATATATATATATATATATATATATATATATATATATATATATATATATAATATCAGACGGCAATTAACTGTGTATGTATAGCTGCAAAACAATTTCTAATACGTATACTATATACTGAAGAAGCATCATAATTATATCGGATATCTATATGTTGCAGTCAGACAACTTTAAATTTAGTTCGTTTAATTAATTTAATTGGTTAAATTCATGTAGGCTAACTTATTAACTTCATGGATTTTTGTAGTCCCGTAAAACTTTTTAATGTTTAAATTTAATTAAATGTGGAAGCCTTATGTGGACTATTTGGACTAATTAGTTGACTGTAGGCTCGGATTCCAGCCGTTAGGGTTCTCGCCACAAGTTGGCTGTTGCTGAGTATTTTTAATAAAATGTTCCAGAATCCATCTTGTCATTTTAAAGTCATGATTTTAACATCCGTTGTAATATATATATAGCTAAGTACACTTCATAGAAATTTTTTAAGTCAATGACAATGTTGTCTATATATCTTTGATATCAGCCTTAATTTGTAACATCTGCATTTTATCACTTCCGGGTATTAGGAAGCAGCCGTTTTGAATTTTAAAATGTTCGATAAAGCTGTTACATACAGTTTCTTGATAAAACTGTTAAGTTTAGTTCAGATTATCCTCTTATTCATATGAAATACATAATATGGCTATATATGGGATGAGTAGCTATGTGTTCAATTAATGCACCCGACGTCCATAGTTGGCAAACCGCCTTGTGGTAGAAAGTAACGATTTGTGGCTGCGAAAATCGCATGTTAATTATAACGCACCTGCAGCTGCAACAGAGTTCCCTGCAGGATGTTGAAATATTTTCGACTTGTTTAGATACACATTGTAACCCATTGTTTATTTGAATAAAGTAGCTATCGAAACAAAACCTAAGAATATCGGATAGATTTTCGGCTTCATGTCAAAGCAATTACACCCATTGGGTCCACGCCACGGCCATGTTGAAATTTTTCCAGCTGGGTCGTTTAATTTATTTAATTTAACGCGCAATAGCTACAAATAATCAGAAAATATTTGTTCTACTATGCATCGTTCCGTTTGGATTAGTTGAAATGATCTTTTTCATCCAACAACAACAGTTCCATGTGTTAAAGTTAATATAAGTGCAATGTGGCTGAAAAAACCCCAATAAATAGAGTAAAATAAATACGGTTTTAGTTTATTTACATCATGATATTCCATCTCAAATATTGGAAAGTTGATTAAATTAATGTACGAGTTTAAAACTGCAGCCATGTGTAATTATAACGGCTGGACACGCATATAGATTTAATCTTTAGAATATATTGTAATCAAGAAAGTCAAACCTCTATTGTTTAATTCAATATCTATATAGCTTACACTAGATAGTAAAATATAAATAATCATTTTTTTCATCGCGCTGATTCCAAGTATTTATTGCGTGTGCATTGTATACTGCATGCATTCACATTGTCCATGTTCAAGTTTGAAAACTGATGGAGTGATGAACGTCATAATCTATCAACAGTGTTGATTTCCTTAGGCATATATTCATTAATGTACTCGCGGTTTTATTAATTGTGAAGGCGGCAAAAAGACTCTTAAGGTTTGTTTATATCACGGGCGAATATTTGTTTTTATATTTTGAATTTCACCTGTTTATGGCGGTTGTTTTGTTGTTAAGAGTATGATTGAATGCCGAACATTCGAATAATATACAAGCATGCATCACAGCCTGTTTTTGTTGCAAACCAAACATTTATGGTATACGTCAATATCATGTAGGCCGCTACTTTGGAAGTTTATTATTGGGCCGAGACAAGATTTTCCTCATGCCGTAACGATTGATCAATGTATAAATTTAAAGTCAGTTGAAATAATTATTTTACTTACAATATGTCAATGACGTTAAATTTAATGTACTATTCGGTCCATTCATATCAAAAGTGCCTTACATTCATGTAGCTGTTTTCGAGATTTTTTTATTCGTACTACTCCGAAATATAATTGCTTGAAGAGATACTTGAAAAATAGACAGCGAGATTCATTTTGTTGTCAAAACAGAGATATATTGGATAGTGTGCAAATCTTCACCAAGGATTTTATTTTTTTAGGTGTGTAAATAAAACAAGAGCTTATATACAGGAATTTAGGAAGTCAAGCGGATTAACAGTCGAGTAACAGTAACGCAAGACGTTCCAAGAGTAAAGTGATCGATTTGAAATTGCAGGATATCAACAGAAGGATGGCAACTGAACTTTTTTCAAACCTGACGTCAACAACCCCAATGCGGCCTAATACGAGCAATACCACAGATTCTGCAGACGATAGCGTTCCATTACTATTAGGAGAGCGTAAATGGTTTATCATCTTCAAATATTCTATATATTGCATTATATTTTTGATTAGTCTGATTGGAAACATGATGGTTTGTTTCGTTGTTTGTCGAAGAATGAAAGTAAAAACTGTCACAAATTATTTCATAATGAATTTAGCAGCAAGTGATTTACTCTACACATTTTGTGTTCCATTTGATGTGTTTGCTACGGTGAATAATGCTTGGCCTTATGGAGCCATCGTGTGTCGAATACTTTGGCCTGCACAGACTATGGCGATCACTGTCTCTGGATTTACATTAACTGCATTGAGTGCGACTAGATTTTGGGCTGTTGTAAAACCGTTACGAAGACAACTATCTGTAAAACAAACTAGTTTGGTCATTGCAATATTATGGATATTGGCGACGAGTACAGTAATTCCTTACATTCACTTCTTAAACTACAAAAGTTCTGAACAAAAATGTGACGAGTACTGGCCATCTCACAAAAAAAGACAAATCTACACTGCTTCTTTGCTAGTAATTCAATATGCCCTACCATTGACCATTATCTCAACATGTTATCTCAGAATTGGGTTTGAACTAACAAAAGGGCAAACAAAAACAAGTAATCGGACTTTAGCAAAAGCACGTGGAAAAGAAGCAAGGAGGGTTATTAAAATGTTGGTCATTGTGACACTCGTATTCGCCATTTTGACACTACCTTCTACTATCATGTGGATGTGGTTAGACTTTGGTCAAGCTGATCAGAAGTTTCGACATTTTTGGGATGTTGTTGAAGTTTTAAACGTTTTTGATTTTCTTAACTGTGCATCAAATCCCATCATTTACTCATTTTGCAATGAAAGTTTTAGTCGTGAATTTCGACGACAGTTGGGATGTATTCTTCCAGGCATATCTCCTAATACTAGCTTCGAGACTGGTAAGGTTTCAACTATAATGGCTCCAATTGCGTCATCACCGTCACCTGGCAACGGACATGCAACTCCATTGAGAACAAGTTTAACGAAACATGAAAATTCTGATTCAGAACAAAACCGAGAGTGTGCGGCAACTTTATTGTAAAAGATACGCTTCGTCATTTATCCAGTGTATTGAGTTATTGGGAGTTAATTAGGCAGTTCTTAGGCTGGAAGGACAAACATTGAAAGTCACGAGAGAATTTAACAAAAAAACATCGCCGGTAGTATATGTGCTGGTGGCAAGCAGAAACATGCAGAATTCTGTCAACGTCTTTGGTGACAGAATAACACTTTTGGAGTTGATTCAACTCCTTGAAATTTACAGTGTAGGCCTAATTAGGTCATATACACCACACCAACACTCCACGACATGTGAACGGAGTGACGATTCGTATACAAATTTATAGTGAGACTCCTTGATTTAATTAATGTTCGTTGATTGTTGACATTGTGAAAAAGTGTTCATATGCGAGTGGCTTTGCAGCCGGTATGCAATTTTGAGCTCGAATGAAATAATCTTTTATAAATATTTGAATATTTCTATTATTGTATATTTAAAAAGGTAAAGAATTATATGATTATACTGAATTCCAAACTATAAGTATAACTGAAAAATATTATATATTGGCTTGTCATGAAACTAATGTAAATATGTAAAGCATCTATTATATGTAGCGTATGAAAGCCAAGAGTAATATCCGTATCAGCATGATCACTGATTCGCACCCAGGCACTTTAATTGTTTGTCTGTTTCACGGCATCAAGCACACGCGGGACGACATGCGAGGGAGAAAAACTTAATCCACGCGACAACATAGTATCCGGTTACGAAGTAGGCATGATCGTATCCGGTTACGAAGTAGGAGAAAACGTTAATGTAGAAGCCTAACTTTTCCCCTTATTATCATGCCAGCTACCACCCAGGCAATATGTTGTATACGTCGCGTGGATTAATTTCAATTTTTCTCCATTGCGTGTTGTCCCGCGCTTCATGCCGTGAAACAAACCAAAACGCTCCGAAAACATTTCAACAACAAAAACAAGTCATCAACAACAGTTAAAAAGATCCATTAGAAGCTTGTGCCATACCCAAATTGCGTAATTCATAACGTTTTTAAACTTCAAAATAGTTAGTAACGAACCCAGGCTCTTGGACTTATATATTTTACTTATAGTTGTTTTTAAACTCCGAAACGTCGTTTTTATTAAATAAACTTAAGTCTTGTTCTTGGTCGTTAAACTGACTATATGTTGTTTTAATTATAAACCATTAACTTCTGCATGTTTATTGTTACAGTAACACCCAGATATTTCATTGAAATGAGAATACTTTATCATTGATTATAAATTTGGGAAGGTGGGGGTGTGGGTTGTTTAATTATATAGCTATTAGCTTCTAATTAGATGCAAATCGAGTTGCTTTATTAACCACTACTACTAGATTATTTGTTTGTCAACAAATCGAGTTGATTTGATTAGCTATATATATACTCGACTAGCCACTCAATTTATTCAATTTATCCAGAATTGAAATTGAGTTTTTTGGGGGAAATCCATCCAATGAAACGTCAATCCCGATCAAGATTAATTTCCATCTATATATTCTGATTCCATCGTCATTTCAAAGATCAAGTTCTCAGAGCACAGTAACCCAATATCTATAGCGTGTGCACACTATTAAGTTATATTTATTCCCACGGTTGGCAAATAAATCAAACTAAAAATCGCTATACACCTTAAAACTATCGAAAAATACTCGAAATATTTTGACAACCACGCTAAAATAATATAGCAAAACTTGAATCTATGATAATTTTTAACAACATTTTTAAAATGAAAAAAAATTCCTAAAATGAAAAAATACGAAAAGTTTTCCGCAATTTGTTCAATGTTTTAGTGCATTATGCTGGATGCCGCATGGAATCTGCCGAAAAAAGTATTTTCATATGACGAATACACAATCTCATTGGTTCTCAAAAAACCGACAGCCAATGAGATTGTGTGTTCGTCATATGAAAATGCTTTTTTAAGCAGGTTCCAGGCATCCAGCATTGATAGTGATTTACTTGCAAACCTTAGGAATAAATATAACTTAATAGTATGCACACGTGACACGTCTATATAGCTATCGGGCTGCCTATGCTCTGAGTTATCATTCATAAACAGAAGAAATAAAACAGGTACTCAAGTATGCTGTTTGTAATCAGAGAGGGGCAAACCGTTAAGAGAAACAGATGTGGGACGCAGGGCGTAGCGAGCACCTGACGATTGGGGATGCCATATGATAATGACCAAACCTTGCAATGAAAATGATAACTTCTTGTGGGGTTTTTTCGGTCGAGAGGCGTATGATAACTGTACCTTTCTAGCAATGGTTTTTAGGCATGTGGTTTGGTGGCAATGTTTTTTTTTTAGAATTTCAGAATACTTCTCTCCCTTTTGTTTACCATTAAACAGCAAATCATTTTTGACTAACATTTAATAATATTTAAAATCGTTGGGGGATATCACCTCCATACCCCCCGGACGTCACGTCCCTGGTAGGACGAAATAAAAGGTGTTACCGAAGTCACAGAATAGAGACCACACAGAAAGCCGAGTCAGCCTGTCAGCCAACGCGTAACCGCCGCCACGCCGTTGATTCGCAATGATTCGTCATCAAAATGCATTCGCCATGTTCCAAGCCAGTGCAATGAGCTCCATATATATCTGGAGCAAGAACGCCAGTCGTTCGGCCGTGAGAATAATGAAGCCAAGATGGCGGCCATTTACGTCCAATAGCTCGGAAAGTCGTAAACAGCGCTTATACCATTTCCCCCCAGCTAATCCCAGTTTTTAAAATTTCTAACCAACGTTAATTAACCGTATCGCTAACCAAGTTATCAGTTCATAAAATCATAGTGTTATTCTTTAAATCGATGTCAAAATACGAAATTTCGGCACACTCCTTGCTAAGATGGCGGAAATTGAAGAAGCTATTGGACGTCAGTTCCAGTCTCTTTCCATTGTTTTTGTCTGCGCGGTTAACACGAAGCTGCCTTCACTTTTTGGACTCGAGTTCTCGCTCCAGATATGTATGGAGCTCGCCGAGCAAGTGCGCTTATAAAGTGGCAACAGCATTGCAACGGTTACGTTAAAATCATAGGCAAAAACCAAGAAGTCGGCCTTCTGTAAGCTTAAGCTCTCTATTCTATGCCGAAGTCTAGTAGAATCACATTTCTTAGTTTCTCCTACTGAATCTCAATCATAGATGTTGTTGGTAAGGGACCTGTCATAAAGTAACTGCTAGGGTGGGCCGGAGTGATTTGGGATGGGCCATGGAAAATCTTTGGGCAGTTTCGATGGGCTGCCAATTTTTGTATCTGCGAAGTAGATATATTGCTATCGCAAACGTGACCGTACTGTTAGCGTATGTTAGCACGTAGCCATTCAGCGACGAGCTTATATAATTTAAGCCAATTTAAGCCAATCAGCGATTATGTTACATCGTGTCCGCCATGTAACCTGCGAACGGGCATCGTTTGGCCTCGTGTTATTCAGTATTCTCGCCATTTTGGATTTCGGAAAATATCTTTAATTGCTGTCTTCGGGGTTATTTTCTCGCCATTCTACTATCAACATTGAAATTTATCCTCATCTTGATCTGGTAAGTAGTCAATCTCTTCGGAGATCAAAACAATCTCTTCGGAGAGCAAATAAACAATCTCTTCGGAGAGCAAAACAATCTCTTCGGAGAGCAAATAGAGAATCTCTTCGGAGAGCAAAACAATCTCCTCGGAGAGCAAAACAATTTCTTCGGAGATCAAAACAATCTCTTCGGAGATCAGAACAAGCAAATACATATAATGTTGTACATTTATACCGTACTCATAGTAGTCTGAGATCTATTCAACCTCGTTCCCAGGCTCTTTGCTCTTGGGAAGCAAAGGCCCTGGTCGGGGCTGGTCACGTGACCCCGCAGATTCTGCGTGGTAAATTGAATTGATCTCAGGGAGGGGTGGTAGAAGAGTCTGTTTGTTGCGTTTGGAAAATTGCAATTTTATGTGTTATAGTTTCGGGTGATAAAAATGTAATTTGCAACAAGAAATTGTGAAAGGAACAGTTTTAAATTCGTATTCATCATGACACAACTTCCTGCTAAACTGAATGTCATCAGTTATAAGTGTTGCGGTACATTTCAAGCAAGAAACTGGATCATATTTCACTTCCAAGGACTCCACACGCGCCTGGCTTGCGAAGTTGAGCACGCATCGCCGTAGAAACATATATGTCTTCCCAATTCTATACCGACTCATCGATCAAACGATACTAAATGAACGATATGGTTGTTTATGGTCGAAGTGTATCCTGTCCGATATTCAACAAAGCCAAAGGATTTATTTTATAATGGAAGATTTCCCAAACATCGCTAACTGTGTGTAAACAATAGTGCTATCTTGACTGTGAAAGCACAGGATTAATTAAAACTCGTTATGGACTGTAAAATTCCTTTCATTTACATTGCTGAAACTCAACGATCAAGAATGATTATGTCGAAGACTCAAGTATAGCTATCTGTCATCAGACGAACACCAAGACTCCACTGTGCGTTTCCGTGCGTGCGGTACATATAACTTGAATATTTAGGACGATATATATGCACCAGACACTGGTATTGTACTTCATAGGAAATTGTTTCATATTTTGTGTATTACAGTAATTTACAGCAGGTACTTATAAACCTTATAAAGACCTTTCATTCCATTGCCCATTCAGTGCTTTATATTTGAAGAATAACCCGACAGCTTCTTTGGACTTGTATAATGCTGCTGTGAGTCATCAATATTTAAATCAACTTTAAATAATCTTTATCGTATACTGTATAAATGACATTTTAGCAGTATCACCAAACCATACTAGCGGCAAACAACCTATCTATCAATGGAGACTTTAAAAGGCTTATTAAAACTCATTAATTAAGTAATTCTATGAGCTGGTCTTCGTGCGCATATATACAGTTTATGAATTATATGTATATATATATATCCCTGATAAAACGTAGGGACACATTATACCAGATATAATAAAAAATACTTTGCTAAACCTTTTCGGCTATCATTCCTTTGCATTCAAGGGGCGAGGGTGAATGGCTATATAATTCATATCGGAGATTCTGTGCAATCTGATTTTGGCTTCAACAAACAGGTACTCGTACAGACAAAAAAGGAAATGCATACAGTTGTCAATTGTCGTATAATTCTTTACTGTCGATCCCAAACAATTTTGTACGCTAACATTCCTTCCTATCTGGTGTTGAATATAAACGATGATAACCTTTTTAAAAAAATCTAGAGCACTATGTCTATAAACCATTTTACAATCAATAGAATGGACATTCAATGTCTATTTGGCTAGTATCCAAATGTGTAACGTTTGCTGTAAGACCAGCAAGGCGTAGCGCCTACGACCTACACAGTCGCTTTTGAGACCTCTATTTAACAAAATTTATACCGTTTCCATATGACAACAATTCAATGGCACATTATAAGAATATTGTACGTATCTGAACCAGAGCTAGATACAGAAACGTACGCGTGAAATGAAACTGCGCCCGAACCCCGAGACAATAAAAGGGCAAATATTTCCAAGCATATACGATCATACGTTTTCGTTGCTTGATTTTCTGACTTGTTTGTTGCTATAAGAATGTACAGTTTAGCATGTTTGTATAATTTAAAAGCAAACAGAAACCAATTTAGCAAGTATTTTGAAGTATATATGATTCTCAAAGATGATTGTATAGAACGGTCACTCCTTGCAATGGAAGTGTGAGGTGCGGAAATGGAAACATGTAATTTGATACTTTTCCATCCCCCTCTTAGGTTATCAATTTTCTATGGGTCACGTGACCAGCCCCGACCAGGGTCTTTGCTTCCCAAGAGCAAAGAGCCTGGGAACGAGGTTGAGATCTATTAAGTGTATAAATTCGGATCACAGTGCCTGTAGTTGCAGATCGACTGTACGTAAATTAACTAAGCAAGCAAATGCTAAACGATCTAGAGACCGTGCACCGTCCAGATTGCCTTTAAAGAGAATTATATTAGCTATGAGAAAGAGAAAAAATAGATCACTTTTAAAGCATTATTTTGTAAGAAATGTCCCCAAGTCATCCATTTTGAACAAGATAGCTAGTAATTTCAAACAATGTTGTTTTCAATTTGTGCAAATACAACATATTTTTATCAATTCATTTGGATATTTTAAGCCATTTGTCAACATAAACATGAATACAGCAAAACAATCATTGTGTAATATGTTCTACAATCAAATCATAGGAGGCAATATTGCCAATGAACAATATCACATATCTCAAAGGGCACTAATGTTGTCAGGAGATATTGAATTAAATCCTGGTCCTGTTCAAAACAACAGTCCAACTAGGCTGTCATCAAATGTAGTGTTGCAACAAAGGTTAAGACGCTTTCAGTTAAGACCATTTGATGTCGGTGGTGATGGTGACTGTTTCTTTCGAGCTGTGTCACATCAATTACATGCTGACCCTGAACGACACTTTGAAGTTAGAGCGGCTGGTATTGCATATATGAGAGATAATCCTGAGAGATTCATTGAAAGTAATACTGAAAACTCTTGGTTAGAATACCTTAATAATATGTCTATGCAAGGTACATGGGGCGATGCTATGATAATACAAGCTGTAGCTGATCAGCTTAAGTTAAAAATTACTATTGCAGAGACACATGAAGGGTTTCGTGAGTACAGTATAATACAACCTGTATCATCAACACAGCAACTAACTCATGTCTATTTGGGTCATATAGATGAGTATCACTATGTATCAACATTGCCATGTACTTCAACGTCAGGTTTTGTTGAGATAAATCCTGAACAGTCAACCCAGAGCTCTCAGCCTAAGCAAACAAGAACACAGTATATGAACAAACTCATGAAACAAAAACGAGCTAATGAGACACAGAGCCCCGAGGCTAAGGAAAAGAGAAGAGTTTATGCAAAGGAATATAGGAAACGTAAACAGGCAAATAACACTTCTCAGCCCTCAACGCTCAGCATTGAGACTAAGCAAAAGAACAGACTGTACGCAAAGGAATATATGAAGCGTAAACGCGCCAGTGAGAGTTTCCAGCTCTCAACACTGAGCATTGAGGCTAAGGAAAAGAAAAGACTGTACGCAAAGGAATATAGGAAACGTAAACAGGTCAGCGAGGGTTCCCAGCCCTCAACACTGAGCATTGAGGCTAAGCAAAAGAAAAGACTGCACGCAAAGGATTATAGAAAACAAAAACGTTGTGAGATTGAACCACTACAAAGTTTAATATCCCAATTTCATGATGTTGTCTCACAAGGTCCTCTTTATATTTGCACTTGTTGTGACCAGTTATGGTACAAGCATAGTGTCATTCCAGTCACAACACTTAAAGAAAATAATCCTGATGTTCAAAAAAGATTGTTAAATAGAAAAAGTGTTAATAATGTGGAGTGGTTGTGTAAAACCTGTAATAAGCATTTAAAAAACAATAAGTTGCCTCCTTGTGCTGCCATAAATGGGCTGCAGTTTCCAGAAAAACCTTCATTTTTCGATCTAAATGAATTAGAGTGCAGATTACTTGCTCCAAGACTTGCATTTTAAAAATTAATGCAAGCTCCTAGAGGTAGACAACTAAAAATCAATGGGAACATTGTTAATGTTCCAGCAGATGTTGTTAAGAAAAGACTGTACGCAAAGGAATATAGGAAACGTAAACAGGTCAGCGAGGGTTCCCAGCCCTCAACACTGAGCATTGAGGCTAAGCAAAAGAAAAGACTGCACGCAAAGGATTATAGAAAACAAAAACGTTGTGAGATTGAACCACTACAAAGTTTAATATCCCAATTTCATGATGTTGTCTCACAAGGTCCTCTTTATATTTGCACTTGTTGTGACCAGTTATGGTACAAGCATAGTGTCATTCCAGTCACAACACTTAAAGAAAATAATCCTGATGTTCAAAAAAGATTGTTAAATAGAAAAAGTGTTAATAATGTGGAGTGGTTGTGTAAAACCTGTAATAAGCATTTAAAAAACAATAAGTTGCCTCCTTGTGCTGCCATAAATGGGCTGCAGTTTCCAGAAAAACCTTCATTTTTCGATCTAAATGAATTAGAGTGCAGATTACTTGCTCCAAGACTTGCATTTCAAAAATTAATGCAAGCTCCTAGAGGTAGACAACTGAAAATCAATGGGAACATTGTTAATGTTCCAGCAGATGTTGTTAATACTGTTAACATGTTGCCAAGGTTTCCAAATGAAACCAGCACAATTAAAGTTTTAAACCTTAAGAGAAGATTGCAATACAAAAGTTCTGCTTTATCACTAAACGTCAGACCAAATAAAGTAGCAGAAGCTGCCAAATGGCTTGTAAATAATGGTAACCTTTATAAAGATGAAGGTATAACTTTCGATGACACTTGGCTTGAAGATAATTCTAATACTCAAATGCTATTTGATGATAGTGACAATGATAAAACTTCAGAGGGTTCAGAAAATGTTGTGGACTTGAATTGTGATACAGAATGTAAAACCCAGCAATCATCAGCATGTGATGATGATGAACACTGGAGTGAAGACGAGGCAGAAATACCTGCCGGAATCACTGGCACTATGTTAACATCTCCAGATTTTGTCACTGATAATGAACGTCAGCATATTTTAAATGTTGCACCTGGTGAGGGAAATAGGCCTATGAGTATATTTAGAGATAAATACTCAGAGGAATTAGCATATCCTGGTATATTTCTTGGACAGAAGCGACCAGACAATACAAATAGACTAACCAAAGTCCATTATAGTGAAATTTGTAAATCTGAATTAAGACGGTCTGACCGAAGGGCTGCAATGTGTGTGGAAAATATTTTCTTTAAAACAAAGAAATTGCAAATGAAAATTTTGCTTGGGCAGTCACAAGTTGCATTACGAAAATGTCAACGAAATAGTAGCACAATCACTGGTAGTAGCACAACTAAAACAACCGGGTGCATTAGATAACATGATTCATCATGATCAAGGATTTAAATTTCTTAGAGCTGTAAGGGGTTCACCTCCATATTTTGAAAAAGCTAAAAAGGATATATTTGCAATGATCAGGCAGCTAGGATCTGCTTCATTATTTTGTAGTTTTTCTTCAGCGGAAACACAATGGACTCATTTACTGAGAATACTTGGTAAACTTGTTGATAACAAAACATACACTGACACTGAACTTGAGAACCTCAATTGGGAAGAGAAAAGTAGATTAATTCAAAGTGATCCTGTGACATGTGCCAGGCATTTTGATTATCAAGTACAGAAGTTTTTGCAAAACTTTCTTTTAAGTAGTTCTGCACCTCTAGGAAAAATTGCAGACTGGTTCTATAGGGTTGAATATCAACAAAGAGGATCACCTCATATTCACATGTTAATATGGCTAGAAAATGCTCCTACGTTCGGGGAAGATTCTGATTGTGATGTTGTTTCATTCATTGATACGATAATCACATGTGAAAAGCCAACTGAGAATCCAGATTTACTTGCACTTGTAAACAGGCAAGTTCATCGCCATTCTCACACTTGTCGAAAGAAATCCAAAAGTGTGTGTCGTTTTAATTACCCACAGCCACCTATGAGGTCAACCAAAATTCTATATCCATTAGATATTGATATGGATGATAATGAAGTTGATCAACATAAAGATACTTGGAAATTTATAAAGAAACATCTGAATGATATGAAAGAGGGCGAGGACATTACATTTGACCAGTTGCTTGTAAATCTTAAATTGACAGAACAAAACTATTTGCTAGCTGTTCAATCTAGTCTCAAGACACCAACTATATTCTTAAAAAGAAAACCGAACGAACTAAGGATCAATAATTATAATGCTGCATGTCTCAGTGCATGGCGTGCAAATATGGACATTCAGTTTGTACTAGATGTATATGCATGTGCAATATACATTGTATCATATATATCCAAGGCTCAAAAAGGCATGAGTAAGCTATTGAGAACAGCTTGTGAAGAAGCAAAAAGGGGAAACTCCAGTATTAAACAACAAGTGAGAGATATTGGAAATAGGTTTTTGAACAATGTTGAAATAAGTGCACAAGAAGCATTCTATATAGTACTTCAACTTCCAATGAGGAAATCTTCTCGTCAAGTAGTATTTATAAATACTTCACCCCCTGAGGATAGAGTTCAGTTACTAAAACCATTGCAAGAAATTAATGATTTGGAAGATGATTCTGATGAAATTTATGCATCTGGTCTAATAAAGCGTTACACAAAACGACCAGCCAAACTTGAAAATGTGTCGCTTGCAGATTGGGCTGCATGGTACGACTCCACTGGTAAGCCATATATCAAACCATCACGTGAATTAGATATTGATAATTATCCACTTGAGACAAACTTGAGTGATAATGATGATAATAATGAGGAAGAAGAAAGCAAACAAAAGAATAAAAAAAGATCTAAAGCCAGAATTATTCGAAGTGTCTGTTTTAATAAGGAAGTTGATTCTGAAAAGCATTACCGTGAACTAATCATGTTATTCACTTCGTGGAGGGATGAAATAACTGATTTATTAGGAAATTGTGCTTCTTACCAAGAACACTATTTTCAAGTTAAAAATACAATAGATGAGCAAATGAAATGTTATGCTATGTGCAGTGAAGACCTGAATGCGATTCAAGACCAGCTTAATAATGTGGAAGATAGTGATGAAAACTATGACCTGATTGCCCCAGGAACACAAAACATTGAGCGTCAAGATGCAGATGAAGGTGCACAAGACCTTCATCCAGAATTCAATGAAAACTATGACCTATCTGGTGATCTTGGAATTCCTTCAGCTGCATCTAATACTGAGCAGCTGATATTGCATGAAGAACAGGATGATGTTTACAGAGGAATGGTACAAAAATTAAACAGAGAACAAAAAGAATTTTTCTTCCATGTTTTACATCTTATTAAAACTTCTGACAATCCATTCTACTGTTTTCTTAGTGGAGGGGCTGGAGTTGGCAAGTCACATCTCACTAAGTGTCTTTATCAAGCAGCATTAAAGTATTATAATACTAGAGCAGGTGATGATTTCCATCAAGTGAAAATATTAATGCTTGCACCAACTGGTAAAGCAGCTTACAATATCAAAGGTAACACAATACATAGTGCACTTTCAATACCTGCATGTCAATCTTTAAAGAATTACAAACATCTTGATTCAAGCAGGTTAAACACCTTACGGTGTCAACTTGGTGGTTTAAAACTAATATTTTTGGATGAGATCTCAATGGTTGGTAGTACAATGTTTAATGTTCAAATAAATAATAGACTGAAAGATATTAAAGGAAGTAAAGAAGATTTTGGTGGTGTAAGCATGGTTGTTATCGGTGATTTATTTCAGCTGGAACCTGTAATGGACAGGTATATATTTAAGAATCTAGACAATTCAGAATATGCAGTTCTTGCTCCTAATAAATGGCAAGATAACTTCAATATGTTTGAATTGGAAGAAATTATGCGCCAAAGGGAGAGCAAAGTGTTTGCTGATATTTTGAAACTAAAATAAAGATTAATAAGAGAAAATAGCATCCAAGATCCCATGGATGTGCCCCACTTGTTCATACAAAATAAGAAGGTAAATGAATTCAATGAAAGAGTGCATAATGCAGCAACTGGTGAAAAGTTTTCAATCAAAGCAATAGACAGTGTTATAGGAGCTAACTCTGCTCAACTTCGAGATAAAATTTTGAGTCAGATACCAGATGATCCCAGGAAAACTAAACAAATTGCTTCAAACCTTCAATTGTCAGTGGGGAAAAGAACTGAGATAGCATTAAATGTATGCACTGATGATGGAATGACTAATGGTGCTGGTAATGTTGTTAAAAAGATACAATTGAATCAAATAGATAAACCTTTGTGCACAGGTATAATATGGGTCCAATTTGACCATTCAGATGTTGGTGAGAAGACCAGACATGAAAATAGACGTCTTTATGTTCAAGGTATTGAGTCCACATGGACTCCAATAAAGCCAATCACAACTCAGTTTGCTGTGGGTAGAAACCAAACTGCACAAGTTGTTAGAAAACAGTTTCCACTTAGACCCGCTGCAGCTAAGACAATTCACCGTTCACAAGGTGACACTGAACAAAAAATTGTTGTAAATTTCAACACTAGAAGATCAATACCACATATACATTATGTTGGTTTGAGCAGGGTAACAGCAATTGAAGGTTTATTTATCACTGACCTATGTGAAGATAAAATAGCTGTCAATCCTCATGTAGCACTGAAATGGAACATTTGAGAAATGAACGTGTACTAAAACTAAGTGTCACTCCTATTTACAAGACAGACCAAGTCTCATTCAAACTGTGCTATCTAAATGCACGGTCGTTGCATAAACACATTGATGATATTCGGCATGATTTTAATTTTGCTAATACAGCCATCAATATTTTTTCTGAAACTCGATGTATGCGCTCGGATAATGCCAGTATGTATGATATTGATGGTTACACCTTGTTCAGAAATGATGGTCACTCTTTAACTACCAGACCCTTTGGTGGCATGGCAGTGTTTAGCAGAGTTGAATTCTTACCTGGATATCCATGTTGTTATAATATAAATGGCATTAAAATAACCATTATGAAAGCAATGCTTCTTCCACATGTTACTATGATTGGTATATATCGATCACCCAGAATTCCAGTACAACAACTGTGTGCAGCATTAGATGAAATTTTGAGGTTTTGTACTTCTCAATTTAACATTTTCATAGGTGATTTTAATATCAATTGGTTAGATGAAGCCAATAGAAGGCCTTTAGATAGATTTTTTATCAATGATCATAACTATGTGCAATTGGTGTCTAATGTCACTACAGACAATCGGACATTAATAGATCATATTTATACAAATCTACCAGAGTCACAAGTTAGTTCACACATTTTAGAAACTTATTTCTCAGATCATAAAGCAGTTTGTGCCTTAATTAATTGTTTTCATTAAACTTAGCAAGGTCATGGTAGAAATACTTCTATATTGGGACAATCTTGAGTCACTGGACACAATTCACTTATTGCAATTACACATTTTCGTTTTTAATTAAAGTTAAATTATACCAAATTTTTACAAACATTTTCAAATGCTAACAGCAGAATCACAAGGTAAGCATTTTTTTAATATCCTCCCACACCCTCTCCTCGTTACATTGTCATTTTGCTTTCTAACATAAATGTTTTTGTTTAGAGATTAATACAACAATGATGAATAAATGTACTGGATATTGGCTGGATAATATTGTCAGAACAACCTACTTGCAGGACAATCTTACTTAAATTCATTAGTATGGCTATAAGAAAAGGACTTAACAGCTACATACAATAATCATATGGATGGATCTTATCAATGACATACAATGTACAAAACTGAACTTGTGATACTGTACCTTCCACTCATATGGATTTCCTCCCACAAGACAAATTATTTTTATATGAATATGCTGTGTTATACTGAACAGTGTGGTCTATTAATTGTGTACAGGACTGAAATTGAATTATACACTTCACTCATGACCTTCAAAACATTCTCTACTGATAAGTGGTCTTCAATATATGACAATATATGATTGACCACCTTGCTACAGTAATGTAAGTTCCTGGAATAGTTTGTGTATGCTACTCAACATTGGCAAATGTGATCCATTCTGTATTAACAAGTGACAGAACTTTTGCTTCATATGATTACAATAAAGTGTTGAAGTATGGACTAACAAGAGACAACATCTGCTATCCTGACTGTATGGTATCTAACATTTTCTGGATTATATGGACGATAAAGAACATTGTCAAGCTACTATATCAGTGTGACATCCCAGTTTATGTATCAACGATGACGTCACAGTTCAGCAACCATAATGTGTACAAAGCTGGACCTTTTATTGCATATAATGGATTTTCTCCTGAGATACTGCACAATATTATTTATTGTGTGAATCTACTACAGTATGCTGTTTTTAAAAACGTTGCCCTCATAACACATGATATTATTGTGTGGATCTGGCATGCTGTGTACATGACTCTATTCAAGAACTTTCTACATGGATTATACTGCTGATTTTCAACCTTGTCAACATAATTATGCTACTGATGCAACTGTCTCCATATATTGACTTACTTGCCAATACATTTTCTTGGAATGAATATTTGCGTTCCTTCAACTATGACTATCATTATAAACAACAGATTAGAAATATTGATGTTGTTGAAAGCTATATAAACTATTGTCTGGAGTGTGTTGGCAACATCGATCCTGTATTCTGACAACACCTGATTACTGTATAAGTGTATATAAGGACAAGGTTGTCAACCTAACTTGTTTGACAAATGACATCATAAAGAATAAAACTTTAATAAAATTTTGACGTTATGCAAATAGACGAAATAGAGATTCTGATCAGTATAATGTTTCTTAATAAATAATGTACAACATACTTCTGTAACTGGTATTCTGGGGGACGATAAATTTCAATACTGTTTCTTCAAATACTAGTGCTAAGACGATTACAACAACCTACTAAAGGTAAGTCAAACTATTTTTTTATTAATACATGATTAGGATAATCAGCCGTTTGTTTCCACTACTGTGTACTACCAACATGTATTTATGCAACATTGTATTTATGTCTCCCAGCATGCAGTCACTTCACTCCAAATCCAACCCTGGGTACGAAGCTGTCCGTTGTGCTGGACGAACGCTGTCGTCCAGTGTAATTTGATTCTGAACACTGGTGAGTAATCAATATTTTTTGACAACCACTGAGCTGTATAATATTATAACCGGAGGAACTTGCTGCTATAGCATGCAAGCCCTCCAGTAATATATATATATATATATATATACTGTAGCTCAGTGATCTCAGCCCGCATCCAGCCTTTGTCCGTGCCATGCCTGCTTCGACGTATGTTCATTCAAATCGAACATCGGACGATTCTTTGGAAACTAGGTCTGTCAAGGTGGCAAGTTGTACCAAGGGGTACCAACACTTTGACAACTTGTACCAAGGCGTACCAGCACATTGGTAACTTGTATCACGTTGTACCAACTTGTGCGAAGTTTTTGCTAATATGTGCAAAGTTTGTGCTAATATGTGCCTGTTACAAAAAGCAATACAAAAGTGATGCATGGGTATGAAACGTTTCATATTGACACAAGCTTTCTCGAGAGCGAATAAAGAATAAATTTGTTCTAATATATATACAAATTGTATCAAAATTGTCATAAATTGTAAATTTGTATTGTGATTTTAATTTGTGAATTTATTGGGGGAAACGACGCACAAAATCACCAACATTCACGCAATTTAGTAAAGATGGACAATTCTTCAAGTTCACGGTAAATTTACATTTCTTCTCAACGCTCCCGTAGAGTTTTTAACTATGGGTTACATACTATAATGTATTTCACTATTATACAATGCCACCTCACATACTGTATAAGGCTTCCATTTTATGTGTTCCTGCCTAGGTTAGCTGTATGTTCATCTACAAATATATTTCCATTTACCGTAATTTTCTGTATTGATACCGGTCAACACAACCAATGTACTTGTTCTATACGTCTTATAGTAATGCCCACCGTTTCTTGCAGGCAATCGAAGAATGCAGGTCGCAATGGAGGTAATTGTAGCAACATCTTTCAAACTGTTTTAAGTGTATGTTGGTGTTATGTACTAAGCGCATAAAGCCAGTTTTCCACTTCAAGCGTACCGTACCGAAACGTATAAAAACATTTTTAAATTTCAAAATTTAGTGTTGATTGGTTAATACTTAATAGTACGCCAAAAAGTTGACTTGCAAACGTGAAAAGTATAGCTTCTGACAGTTAACTACGAACTTTTCATTTTGATACGCGAATACACCAGCAAGCACGTGGATTTATCAACCTCTTCAATCTGCGCATGCTCACCAGTACGTTTCGGTTGAAGTGGAAAACTGGCTTCACAGGGACGTTTCGGTTGAAGTGGAAAACTGGCTTCACAGGGACGCCGGAGCGAGTGAGAGCAATCGCTAATTAATATTTCGTTTCCCAAAAATGTTGGCGGGCTCTCAACGCTTTTTTAAATTAAAGATTTTCTGATTTGGATATGATTTTCTGGACAATTATTACTTCTTTAAAAACAAAGTGTGTCTGACTGGCATGAAACAACTAAAGAGTTCGAAATTTTTCAAAAAGTAACATTAATCTAACTTGTGGTTTGTTAATCAAGAATCTTTTATTTTCTTTTAGACTCAGAACTCCAAGGTTATGTGCATTCCCTCAGTCCGGTCAAAAATGCTCGCAATAGCAGAACTTCGTATTTCAATTGTTTAATTCAAACCAGCACAGATCAAAAAGTCCGTGCTGTCTGTTTTGATCCCCCTAAAAGGGTAAACTTGCAGCAAGCATTTCAACAAAAGTCACCAGTAAAAATTACTGGAGTCAAGAGAAGCTTTAATACCAGTTTCTCGACCGATCAAGAAGAATACAAAATCCCGAAACAAGCGAAAATTCAGCCAGCAACTACGAGTTTGAATTCAATCCCAAAATTAGCTCCTGCCAATTAACTGTGAAACAAGCTCTCTCTGCAGATTTATACAAAACCATCGATATTTACGCAAAAGTCATGAGCAAGCAAGAAAACAAACAACCAATTCTAAAAAATGGTAAGAAAATTTTTATAAAGTTGATTGCATCATTGCTGACGAAACTGACAGTATCAAACTTGTTTTGTGGGAGGAACTTATCAGCCAAGTAGAGTCTGCCAAAAGCTATCTTTTTCAGAGGTGTTACGTCATGAGTTTTCGATGATGTGAAATACTTAAGTACCAATGACTCCACTATCATTGAAGCCAAAGATAACATTGCGAATGTAAATTTGACATCCAATGAAATAAAAGACAACATTATTGACGCGCAGTGCTTAGGAGTTCATATAAAGAAGCAGCAAACATGTGTCATCTGCAACCACACCTTAGAATTCAATACACATGAAGAACTGGTGACTTGTCCTCATTGTGATATAACCATGCTGCGTAACACGTGCACCACCAAATTGGTATGCAGTTTAACTGTAAAAACATCCAGTGGAAAGTTAGAAACCTTAACATGCTTCAATGATGCGGTACAAAGTTTCCTTGTATCGAAAAGGGGATATCAGTGTCGAAGTGATATCACATGAAAAATTACAAAAATTAATCCTTCATGCTGGTCAAGTTAAAATGATTGTGGACAAGTCCTCTGGAATAATATACCAGTTTCTTGATTGATCTAGTTGTTATATAACATTGTATTGCTATGTTGGTGCAAAATATGAACCTTCTCGGAAGCACTTTTAAAACAATGGCATAAAGTTTGAATTCTCATTTTATATTTTGTTTAGTTTATGTTCACTACTTAAGAACGTTTGTTTTGTTAATTAGAGCTTGGACTCTGTGTAGACTTCTTTGTTTTCAAATAACTTACTTGCTAAAACTGTCTATTTGAAAAAAAACTATGGAAGCTAGTTTTGTATTTGTCCAATATTATTCAGTTTATCAGAATGTTTCATGCTGTCGTCTTTTTTCTTATTTTTACTTACTTTTAATGGCTAAAAAATTCGGAATAAATATTCAGCAGTTTTAAAAATAAACACTTCCCCTTTTTTCATTCTTGCACCGTTCTTTTTATTCTTGAAAGTGCATTACTTTACAACACAATTTTTCACATTGTTTCTGCCTGGCCTTACGGTCAATTTCAGATTACTTTTCGGCGTGTGGTTGTGAATTTGTTGCAAAGTTCAAAAGTTCATAACGAAATTCACAAACAGATTTGTAAATAAAGTATATGATTGGCTAACAAATAAAACCAGCCAATCAAATGCACGGTTTACAAAGTACAAACCTGTTTGTGAATTTCATTATGAACTTTTGAACTTGGCAACCAATTTGCGAAGTTCGGAATGAAGTTCGTAACCACGCGCCGAAAAGTAATCTGAAATTGACCATAACAAGACACCAACATTTGTTAAATTCCTATAATCTTCTCCAGTCCTGTTATTAATTAAAACCCAGCACTGCAGAAAATTATAAGCTGTCGGGAAATTTGCTTTCAATTTTAGGTTAACCTGGGGTTAATCTAACCGTCTAATTTTGAATATTGAAGAAAAAAATCACACTAGAAATCGCAACAAAAATTGCAAATGTAAAGTTCTAAACGCACCTTTATAATTATATCTGTCGCAGATACATGTACGCGTCGCGTACCTATTTTTAAATAGTCCCGGGGACAATCAGGAAAAGATTTCATTGTTCTGCCTGGTTGCTGTTCAAACACGTCTTGTTCATTTAAAGTTCTTAGAATTTTATATAAATCTTGATTGATATCTTTCTTACTGTGCTCACCAGATGTGCTTTGAATGGATTGGATTCGTGATAGTTCGTGACATACGGAAGTAAATTTTGAGCTCCGTATTTTGATCAAAATTTAACCAGTTTCATTGTCCTTGGATGATAAATTATTGTACAAAGTATTGCCTAAAGTATAAACCTACTGGAATTTGGTAGTATTACTGGAGTTTTGAATTGTAAAGAACTTGTTTTTTCTGTTTAAAGTTGTTGCTTTGATCAAATTCAGTTAGATTTTTTATTTTTCGGTCGCGCGCGTGCAACCGTTAACGTGTGAGCAAATACACTTCGTCAGCGCGTGCGTTGAACAGTTTTCTTATTCGAAAACTAATTAAGAACAACTGAAACTTCGGCGCGTGCCAATTAGAACAGATTTATCACTGGGACGGCGTTTCTTACAGTTTAATTGTCTACAAATCGTGTTTGTGAATGTCCATGGTACCTATATTGTGAACAATGTTTATGTACTTCGTCTTGTTGTGGCTTGTCTTCAGTGGAAGTAATTGTAATTCTGGCAATAATAATACAGTATCACCCAAAGATAAATGTCATGCTCACGATCGTTTCATCATCGATAACAACTCCAAGCGGCGACACAAATATATGGCTTCACGATTTCGATACTATCCCAATACTGACGCATCTTTCAACGTGGAACGGAATCCTGGTCCTTCCAAATCGAATAAAACGAACACGTCAGAAACAAGAATTCAGTCTCTCACGTTTGTTTTGCAAAATATTCGAAGCATTAAATCTGTTCAACTTGACTCCACCAATTCTCGAGAGAATAAGTTATCCTGCTTTCAAGATATTGTATTGGCTAATCAATTTGACGTGATCGCACTTACTGAAACTTGGTTACACAATTCTGTTACCAACTATGAAGTTATTCCGAACGGCTACCAAATAATCCGAAGAGACCGTCAATCTGGAAAGCGTGGCGGTGGTGTATTGCTAGCAGTGAAGGATACTATTGCTACTGAACCTTTCACGTTTAACTGTGAATCCCTTGAACTTTCGAGTGTTGTTATTAAATCTTTTTCCAAAAGAGTTCTTGTTGCTGTATGTTATAGACCTCCTGACGCAGATAATGTTTTTCTTCTCAACTTGAACAACTTCGTGAAATCGGCCATCAACTCCAATATCAAGGATATTATCTTGCTCGGCGATTTCAACTTTTCTACCATTCAGTGGACAAACGGCTCGGGATTTGCTGACTCGTCAAGCGAGACCATCTTTACGGACATGCTGCAGGACAATAGTTTCTTCCAACTTGTAACCCAACCAACCCGTGGCTCAAATATACTCGACCTAATCCTTACCACCAACGAAAACCTAGTTGAAAACATCGAGGTTACAGATGATGAAGCTGTCTCCCTCCAATCAGACCATAAAGCGATTTTGTTTAACCTCCTCCTCCACACAAAACCTAAGAAGTCAGCTAGAAGAACAGTTTATAACTACAACAAAGGCGACTTTGCAGCTCTTAGAGAATCATTGAAATTGTTGCCGTTGACTGATATTGTTCTCTGTGAGGATGATATTGATATCGCTTGGTCAAAATGGTGTGACACCTTCCTTGCTGCCGTAGACACTTTTATTCCAAGTAAACAAACTTCCCGATCCTATACTCCACCCTACTTCACAAGCGAGATAGTTCACCTCCTGCACCAGAAAGAAACTACAAGAAAACGGGCAAAGAAATCGGACTCGGTAGAGCTATGGGAGAAATTTCGGGATCAGCGCAGGACTGTTAAAAGTCTAATCAAGACCAAGAAACGCGAATATATCAAGAATCTGGCAGAAACATTACCAACAAACCCCAAGGAATTTTGGAAATTTTTTAAAACTAAGTCAAACAAGTATTCACTACCAGATACCATGACTCTTGCTGATTCGTCTTTTACCACCTCGACAGCTAAAGCAGATGCTTTTAACAAATTCTTTGCCTCCGTGTTTCTTCCTCGCCCCGACAATCCATGTCTTCCAACTCCTACCATGGAATTCGACAACTCAACCGAGTTCACTCCAGTTTCCATTGAAGAAGTCCTCAGTCTATTATCTGCGTTATCTACTGCGAAAGCTACGGGTCCAGATGGGATATCTGCGAGATTATTGAAAGAGTGCGCTGACGCTATTGCTCCATCCCTTACTGAACTATTCAACAAGTCGTTAGCCTTGGGTAAGGTTCCTACAGAGTGGAAGTATGCAAATATCGTTCCCGTTCCCAAAACCAAAGAAACTCGCGTCATCGGCATCTACCGCCCAATATCCTTACTATCCCTTGTGTCTAAAGTCCTTGAGCACGCGGTCCACGCCCGAACCCTCTATATCGTCAAACCTCTACTCCACTACCAACAACATGGCTTTCGTGCAGGAAGGTCCTGTATCACCCAACTACTCGATGTTGTACACAATATTGGCAAGGCATTAGACTGTGGAAAAGAAATTGACATGATATATTTGGACTTTTCAAAAGCATTTGACTCTGTTCCCCACGATAAACTAATTGTGAAACTCCAACAATTTGGAATAACAGGACGGCTTTTGCACTGGTATAGCGACTATTTAATGGGACGAAAACAACGTGTTGTAGTAGATGGTGTTTCGTCGAGCTATCTTGATGTGACCTCCGGAGTTCCACAAGGAAGTATTGTCGGCCCCCTACTCTTCCTGGTCTCTGTTAACGACCTCCCTGACGCTGCTAAATACAGCAAAGTACCCATGTTTGCCGACGACAGCAAATGTTATCGAGTCATAGAAACGTCACATGACACTCAACTCCTTCAGTCCGATCTGCAATCCCTTTGCAATTGGTCCTCTACCTCAGAATTGAAGTTTAATCTCAAAAAATGCATTGGAATCAGATTCTCCCGCAAACGTTTAATTGAGTCACCCGAATACAGTTTAAACCAAGAACCGATAACCCTTAAACCCTCCCAAAAGGACCTCGGAATAATAATTAGTAACAACTTAAAATGGTCACCTCAGATAACCAGTATCGTGTCAAAGGCAAATCAGATGCTTGGTTTTCTCCGACGTAACTGTATCCACCTGACTGATACGAAATGTCGACGCTCACTCTATCTAGCACTCGTGAGAGCTCATCTGTGTTATGGAAGTGAACTTTGGGCGCCTCAATCAACATCAAAGGACCTTCTCCGTATCGAAAGTGTTCAACGACGAGCGTCCAAATACATACTTCAAGATTACCACTCTTCCTACACTGACCGACTGAAACTTCTTAACCTTCTCCCTATTTCGTACTGGTATGAGATGAAAGATATTATTTGTTTCTACAAGGTCAAATCTGGACTCTACGACCTAAACCCCGAAGAATATATCGACCACCCTACCCATCATCTGACCCGCTTCAGTTCAACCAATTGCTACAGACCCAACCTTTGCAGAACTGCCTATTTCAGAAGTTCCTTCTTCAACAGAATTGTGCCTCTGTGGAACAACCTTCCTGAAGATCTGAAATCCTCCACCTCTACTGCAACACTCAAATATAAACTGAAGAACTACTACCGGGTCAAACTTGAAACATTCTTTGACGTTGATCGTCCGAGGACATGGAAAACCATTTGTTCTAAATGTCGCTCTTGTTCTATTACTTGTTGTTCATGATAGTTGAGAGCGCTCCAAGCTGTCTTTGCATTTCCCAAATGTCTTTGCTTCAGTCTGTTTGAATAAATTAAATTAAACGCCCAGATATAAAACACCCGGGCAGTCTATGTTCTTGAAATCCTATCTTTGGAAAATGCAGGGACAGCTTGGAGCACATGCATGTTTAGGATGTTTACTGTATTCTGTGACTATGTCTGTGCTGCACAATGTTGACTCATCTATATGTATAATTTTTTTTTCTAACTTGATCATTTTCCAAACCATATTAACTTTGGAAAGTGTAAAGATGGGTTGGAACGCATTGATCGTGTGTTGTAATTTTGTATTGTAGCTTTGTTAAAGTTTTAACCTGTCTCTATTGTTTTACAATGTCAGTGTAATGTGTAGGTAGGACTTGATTTGGGACTCCTCAGTCCTGTTGTCTGTACCTTCAATCGTTTTATTGATTGTAAAGTTTATAAATTAAATTAAATTATATCGAAATACTGAAAGCAGTGCGGGGTCAACTAAAATGCCGTAGACATGGATGAAGTACACCGGAATACAATATATATATATATATATATATATATATATATATATATATATATATATATATATATATATATATATATATATATATATATATATATATATATATATATATATATACATATACATAAAGATTAGGATTGCTGCCTCGCTCGCTCGCTTCACGCTCGTCGTTCGCTACGGCAGCAATAACACTAAATTACACTAATATGTCATATAATAATAATACTCCTATAGTCGAACATATAATAACAACATATAAGTTGATTTGTATTTGTATGTTTTTCAGTTTATTTATTTAAGATCTATATATTATTCGCTTATATAAAGGCACCGCTTTTCGAACCTGACAGCCCGTTCGCAGGAAACACGCGGGATTTGAAATAGGTGGCGGCAACAATGTAAATACGTGACAAGGGATGAAACTTTTAAAGTTTGTCGTATTATGAATGCCC